GCCTGGATGGGATAAAAAGAGAAAGTAAGAGGAAGTTTTGCTGCTTCCTTCCTGTCACGACATGAATTATTTCTCCTCTGTGATGCCTCTGTACCATTATCCTTATCCCAGAATCCAGCTATTGATTTAAACCTGTACAAACTGTGGAATAAAATAAATAATTCCACCTTCAACTTGTGGGTATTGGGTACTTTGTCCAAGCAATGAGAAAGTAACCAAGACAGTAAGGTGCTCCTGTGCCATGGTTCCCTTCCAACTCCAAAATTTAAGGAGATATCTGTGCATTTGTGGAGCTCGGGCACCTCCTCTTATCTCTGGCACTTCTTGGTCTGACTCTACCATTCATTTGACATGTCAGAGTTGCAGAATCTGAGTAGCCAGACCTCCAGTATCAGCCCCCACCCCATCTCTGCTCCCTGGTGAAAAGGCTTTGTGACTCTCAATTGACTATGAAAAATGATCTGGGGCTGGAAACTACAAGGAGAATTCAAAGATGCAAGAAGAAAACTGTTAGGGTCCAGGACATGGGTTTGGGGAGGGCAGCAGGCAGGTCTCCTGTTTCTTGGCTGATTGTCCAGGGTGCAGCTATTCTAGGCTTCTCCTCATCTGACTCTGAGTCTGTTGTCCCTGCAGCTGCAGCGGGGCTAGCTTCACCTAGCAGCTCTTCTCCACAGCAGAGTGCATGGATCTATGGCTTCATGTGTAGGCCACGGCCCTTCCTGAGACCTTCTCTGGGGATGAGGCTGGCCTCCTGGATTTCCTGCAACCAAACCCTTACACTCATGCCCTGCTGCCTTGACCCTGACCAGCCTTTCCCAGGCCCAAGACTGACAGAGCCAATATCTGACTAGCAGACACCAGAACCCAGTAGGTATGAGCTCTTTGAGGAGTCTCTGCACACATGCCGCTGTCTGCTCAGTCTCTGGGCTGAAGCCGAAGTCCAGGCCTGTGGAGGGAACATATCCTTTGATGGCAGGCTCTCTGGGGCTGACAGAGAAGCATATGCAGGGCAGCTGGGTCCTGCAGGAGTGATGCTCAGACAGGCTGCTCTTTGCTGAAGCTTAAACCTACTGCTCAGGTGGTCACTCAGACCCAGGGAGACTCAGACTGGCTATGCAGACCCACATTCAAGCCTCAGGACACCACTTAATGGAGGATGAGCAAAAGGGACAAAGGAACAGTTATTTTCCTAGCTGCATAAAACATCAGTAGCTGGGCTGCCTTTGAAATGAACAAAACTGAGTTGAGAGGAAGAGAAAATCAGTCTTCTTCACATAGCCAATATGGACCAAATAGAATAATGCACAATGTTAGCAGGTCCCATTCTGAATACAATGTTAATAAGTAATCTTGCCTGGGACTCGATCAGGTGGCGGTCACTCTTGTCATTCCCATTTCTACATGGTTAACTTGGCCAAAGGGAGGCTGAATAACTGCCTGTGGGGTGATGGTGCCAACATTTGGATTCAGGTGCTGCAGCTCCAGAGCGGTTACTGCTAAGTGTCCACTGCTTGGTTCATCTTCCTGCTAGTCACTCACAATGGTCATGTTCTTGCTTTTCAGAAACAAGGCCTCAGAAGTTTTACATAATTTGTCCAAGATTCTGTAGCAGTGGGTAGTGGAACTGAAGGGCTGGGAGTGTAGCTCAGCGGGAAGAGTGAGAGAGGGAAGGAGGCATGGAAGGTGCAAGAGAGGGAGGGAGGAGGGAAGGGAGCGAGGGAGGGAGGGAGGAACTCACCGGTTCTGTTCTAAATTCAAATATTTCACTCTCTAGTAAACCAAATATCTGCAAACCGGACTACATCTGTGATCCAGCCTACAACTTGTCTTAGAAATAAATTTTCTTTCTTGCTACTAAAACAGAATAGTTCTAACAGAGATCTTTACAGAAAAAGTGTGGATGCCCACAAGAAACCTATAATATGGATAAAAGCCAGCTGCTCCCCCTTCTATCAGTCAATGTCTGCCTGGTGAAGCAGTCTTTTTCCTCTTGGCATGAATCAGTTCATCAGCTCTGTGACAGCCCTTTCAGAGTGTCTTACAGAGTTAAAAACAGAAAGGACTTCATAAAATCACTTAGCCCAACATTCCCTTTTTACAGATAGGAAGGCCATGACTTTATTGATAACTTGTCCAATATGACTCAATCATAACATAGGAGTAGCTGGTCTCAAGTGGGTACTAGGGATGCAGAACTTTTCGATAGTTTTGACTCTTTACCTTAGAGATCCATCCAGACCAACTTGGACTGTCCTTCTATGTGACAAAGTGATCTTTCCTGATCCCTATAACTAGCTCCATCCAGATGAACTTGTCCGTACAACCCTGCTGTCCTTTCCTCCAGATCTGGGCCACTGTCAGGACTTGTCAGATCCGTAACCCTATTTTATTTCCAAAGGACGCTAAAAATAATAAGGAGAGTATTGACCCAGATGCTCAGTACTTGACTGTCCTTCAGCTGCTGTGTGACTTTCCATGGGTCACTTCTCAACTCCAGCCTCAAATACCACAATTGTCCAGTGGGCATTTCGCTTGTGATACTGCTGCCTCATGGGATTGTCTTCAGGACAGCAAGCAAGTTGTCCAGAGTGGGATGAGTTGAAATAAAGTCAGCATAACGCAGGTGATAGAAATGCAGAAACCAGCTGTACTGACACACTCGTGTAGTGTGGGCTGCAGGCAGAGACTAACGCCAGGTCCCACCAGAAGAGAAAGACCCCCAAAGCATCACAGTTGTTCCTTTGTATCCTTGAGGGACTGAGTCAGGGAACCCTCATGGATACTAACATCGGTGAATGTTCAAGCCCCTTGCATAAAATGCTGTGGCGTGGCATAGAACCTACTCACATCTCCCACACATACTTTAAGTTATACAGTTACCTGTCATACCCAATATAGTGTAAATGCTTTGTAAATAGTCTTCATACTGCACTGTTTAGAGAACAATGACAAGAAAAAGTCTGTATGTATTCAGCACAAACACATTGTCTTCTGGTATTTTCAACCTGCAGTAGGTAGAATCTGCAGATATTGACTCCCCAACTAAAGAGGACCAACTGTATATACCTGTGAGCTTTAAACATTTGGCCATCTGGTAGGTGTATTTCTCCTTTCCTCAGAAAAATTGGACATGGACTTATCTGAACAAAACTTTACACTGAACCTCAGAAGGGTCTGAAATGCTAGGAAGCTCCTCCCACGAATGTTCAGCTTTGATGGCTCCTAGTCCTTTGTTCAGATGAACGAAGTGAGCCCTAGAGAAAGTGGGTACTAGGGATGCATTTACCAGTGCCTTTGGGAAGCAGATATTGATGAAGCTGTGTAATTTCCTCTGCAGGACAGGATGTAATTAAATCTGGGAAAATTCAGAAGCCCACCGGGTGCTGCAAGTGAGACCCAAATTCACCGTGTTGCTCTGGCTTCTCTCACCACATTTGTCAATGTAGGGATAGGGAGGCAGCCAGGTTTGCTGGACCCATCCTCACCCCTAGAAGAGCTGCTTACCCTTCTGGCCAGCTCCAGACCCCACACTCTCAAGCACAGTGGAATACCAGAAACACAACTCCTTTCTGTGTGTACTGTAATACACCCAAGCTCCAGTGCTGCATTGAAATAAATGATTGGAGTGATACTACTTTCTCTGGGACGTCTGCCAAACCCCATATCATGGACCAAACCACTCCTTGTCCCTGGATCTTTGGCAAACATGTATTTGCCCCTCCCACTGCTGCACGCCAGGCTGGCTTTACGGTTGTCCAAAGAGAACTCAGAAGCCCAGAAGAGGAGGGACCTCAAAGGACCCGCAACATCTTTCCTTCACCTCCCTCCATCAGATCCAGGGGAACTTTCCTGCTGTCTGATTGTACATCTCCAAAACTTAGGGGTTCGCCACTTCCAGCAATGGTCCATTCTCTGTCTGGTCTAATCTTGATAGCTGACTCCCCAGACTTCCTACTTTGGCCTCCGTTCAGCCCTGGGGCCCAGCATCTATTTCCTGGAAGCTCTCAGAAACCTGAAGGACTAAATTGTTATTTTATATTTTACTAAGTTTTAAAAGAATTATTATTTTCCATGAAATATCAGACATCTATTTAAGACATCATGTTGACATCCTTCTACTCAGTGTCTAGTTATTTAGACACCTCTGCGAGAGTAGTGTCATCGTCCACCTGCTAACTTGTATTAAAAACAAGGCTCTGTCAGTTTACATCTTTCCCAAACCAGTACTGAGCTCCCAGGGCCTGAGTGGTACAATATCCCTCTTTCTAGAAAAATCCACCCATGCAGTAAATTGCACATCCAGTTCAATCCAACTGAAGGTCTTAGTCCCTTGAAAGTCAGCCCTAGAGATGAAAGAACAAATCAAAACTATGTAACTAAGCCTGCCATCCCTTGATATCCACTTTGTGATTAAATCAAAATACATGTCAGGCTGGTGGTGCAACTCAATCTCTAGCACCACACACACACACACACACACACACACACACACACACACACACAGGCAGTCAGTCTCAGAGCTAAGATTTCACATTTAACCCCCTATAGTCTCCAATTCCACAAGTGATTTTTTTTAAAAAAGGTATTTGGCTACCAAGCCGGCCACTATGACCAAAAGCTCTCCTTTGCTAGCTGGAAGCTGATAAACAAACCCACTTGTCTCGAGTAATTCACAGCATTTGGCTTTCATGGGAAGATGCATTCAAAACTCCATAACCAGATACATGGCACAGGAAATATCATTTATTATTGTTTACATTTATTTTTCCATGAAGAGAACAACTTTCAAAATAAATCCAAATCAGACAGTAGAGATTTGCAGGACTCTAGAATACCCATGGCACAGCGAGGACACAACTGAAATAGTCTGAATTTTCACAAAAGCGGAGAGACAGAGAGACACGGGCAGGCACCCTCACAATGTCTTCACAGTCCCCAGTACAGTCATGCTGTCTGCAGGCATGACAGAGTGTCACAGTCCAGTTCCACAAAGAGAAGGGCTCGCGTTATCTTCTTCATTCAAATACCAAGTATTTCTGGCATCAGCTGGAGAAATATATCAGAAAGAGGAACTACTGAATGCCTTTAAAAAAATCAAAGTTCTAGAGGCCAGAAATCTGATATTTCTAAGCAGTCTACCCATGGTTGAGGTTCATTTTGGAAAATCTTACAGCAAGTGATGTATTTTCTTCCTTGTAAATTTAGCACGAGAATACAGTCATAGAGACCCAAAAGGGGTTTTTTTTTTCCTTGCTTATTTGTTTTTAATTGGATAGGACCTTTCACTATCAGACCCAATCTCTGATTTTGCAGGCAAAGAACCTTGAGCCAAAAGGTGTAAAGCTCTTCTTCCCAGGCCACCCAGCTGCAGACCCAGGTGTGTGCAATTGTAAATGCTCTGCTTTTCCACCACACTGTATACCCTGTGTTCTTTCCCATTCTGTGCCTTTCAAATGAAATTAACAAACATATAAAAGGAGTCCAGTGGGATTCTTTACTAAGTGATGGCTTCTTTGGTAAGAATGCTTCAGTTTTTACACGCTCAAACATGGAAAACAGATCACATGGCAAGAGACAGGGTCCCATCTGGGTAAGAACCCCTCTTGAATTAAGGCAGATTAGGGAATTTTTTTCAGCAAGATATTTGGCAAGAGTTGGCAGCTCCCCTTTCCCTTTGTCTCATTTGCATTTAGAATAAAGAGTAACATGTAAATGCTAAATAACTAGACATTGAGTAGAAGGATATTAATATGGATGGTCTTAAACAGATACTTTACAATTCATGGAAAATAATAATTCTTTAAAAACCTAGTAAAATATCAAAAGTGTCAAGTGTCATATACAGTACACAGGAGTACCCTGGTCCTGGGTAACTTCTATTAAAAAAAGATTACAAAAAAGAAGTCAAGCATTACTTAGGATGAAGCACATAATCCTTCTCAATTACATGTAGGTGGAAAGGTGAACCCAGATACTCTCCCAGAACCTCTGTGAGAGTCTTCAAGGCTTTTCTGGGTAGCCCTATCTTCCCAGGAGACCTAGGATTGGAACCAGGAACCTCTCTATCTACCCCTAACTCAGGAGCCAACTTCACCACCAGGCAGCACCATGACATTGGTTTGATGTTCTTTCAGCTAGCACCACTCCTCAGATTAGCCCCTAGGACAATGCCTGCGGGCAGAAGGACAACATGCAAGTGACTAAGAAAAGAATAGCAGGCTATCTGTGATCTAATGCACATGGGCCTTTCTGATTGGGTGCTCAGATCAGCCACGTGGATTTAATTTCTCAGGACCCACTGTTCAAAGAGTGGTTATTTTCATTAAAAAAAGCATGTAGCAGCTAAACAATTTCCTGGCTGGAAACCAGCTAAGTAAAACTGAATGCCATTCTTTCCCCTCTTCCCTTTGTTCCAATATGTTGTTTTGGCTAAAACGTACTCCTTTGCTTTTGAGTGGATTGCTGTGTATTCTTTTTCTTATGACAGCCCAGGTGGGATTGACCATATGTTGAGAGTATTCCTGAATTCTATGGGCCAGAGCTGAGGTTATTCATGGAGTATTAACTCAGTTCCTTGAAGGTCAGTCCTTGAGCAACATGAACTGAAACGTCAGGTCTTAGTTTTCTCATCAGGGAAGTTGGGAAATAGGAGCCAGCCCTACTGTACTCGTCAGGCAGCTGGGAGGCAAAATGGTTAATATATCAGAAAGAGGAACTACTGAATGCCTTTAAAAAAATCAAAGTTCTAGAGGCCAGAAATCTGATATTTCTAAGCAGTCTACCCATGGTTGAGGTTCATTTTGGAAAATCTTACAGCAAGTGATGTATTTTCTTCCTTGTAAATTTAGCACGAGAATACAGTCATAGAGACCCAAAAGGGTTTTTTTTTTTCCTTGCTTATTTGTTTTTAATTGGATAGGACCTTTCACTATCAGACCCAATCTCTGATTTTGCAGGCAAAGAACCTTGAGCCAAAAGGTGTAAAGCTCTTCTTCCCAGGCCACCCAGCTGCAGACCCAGGTGTGTGCAATTGTAAATGCTCTGCTTTTCCACCACACTGTATACCCTGTGTTCTTTCCCATTCTGTGCCTTTCAAATGAAATTAACAAACATATAAAAGGAGTCCAGTGGGATTCTTTACTAAGTGATGGCTTCTTTGGTAAGAATGCTTCAGTTTTTACATGATCAAAGATGGAAAACAGATCACATGGCAAGAGACAGGGTCCCATCTGGGTAAGAACCCCTCTTGAATTAAGGCAGATTAGGGAATTTTTTTCAGCAAGATATTTGGCAAGAGTTGGCAGCTCCCCTTTCCCTTTGTCTCATTTGCATTTAGAATAAAGAGTAACATGTAAATGCTAAATAACTAGACATTGAGTAGAAGGATATTAATATGGATGGTCTTAAACAGATACTTTACAATTCATGGAAAATAATAATTCTTTAAAAACCTAGTAAAATATCAAAAGTGTCAAGTGTCATATACAGTACACAGGAGTACCCTGGTCCTGGGTAACTTCTATTAAAAAAAGATTACAAAAAAGAAGTCAAGCATTACTTAGGATGAAGCACATAATCCTTCTCAATTACATGTAGGTGGAAAGGTGAACCCAGATACTCTCCCAGAACCTCTGTGAGAGTCTTCAAGGCTTTTCTGGGTAGCCCTATCTTCCCAGGAGACCTAGGATTGGAACCAGGAACCTCTCTATCTACCCCTAACTCAGGAGCCAACTTCACCACCAGGCAGCACCATGACATTGGTTTGATGTTCTTTCAGCTAGCACCACTCCTCAGATTAGCCCCTAGGACAATGCCTGCGGGCAGAAGGACAACATGCAAGTGACTAAGAAAAGAATAGCAGGCTATCTGTGATCTAATGCACATGGGCCTTTCTGATTGGGTGCTCAGATCAGCCACGTGGATTTAATTTCTCAGGACCCACTGTTCAAAGAGTGGTTATTTTCATTAAAAAAAGCATGTAGCAGCTAAACAATTTCCTGGCTGGAAACCAGCTAAGTAAAACTGAATGCCATTCTTTCCCCTCTTCCCTTTGTTCCAATATGTTGTTTTGGCTAAAACGTACTCCTTTGCTTTTGAGTGGATTGCTGTGTATTCTTTTTCTTATGACAGCCCAGGTGGGATTGACCATATGTTGAGAGTATTCCTGAATTCTATGGGCCAGAGCTGAGGTTATTCATGGAGTATTAACTCAGTTCCTTGAAGGTCAGTCCTTGAGCAACATGAACTGAAACGTCAGGTCTTAGTTTTCTCATCAGGGAAGTTGGGAAATAGGAGCCAGCCCTACTGTACTCGTCAGGCAGCTGGGAGGCAAAATGGTGAAAGTGCTCTGTTTAGGAAAAAAAAAATCACAACACTTAGGAAGCAATTATCACTCATGGAAAGAGTCAAGGGGTCCAGACCAACACCTGACCCACTTCATTTGTGTGCAACTGTCCTCATCTTTCCCAAGGGCCCAACACATGTTCCACTTAGGAAATCTCAGGCCTTAAACTGGCCTTTGTTAAATGAAAGATAAAAAGACTGCTCATTTTCTCTCTTTATGATCTAAAGAATGACCTAAAGATCTTGACTCAGCAGAAAATCCCCAGGACACTCAGAGATAAGCCATCTCTCTCTCCAAATGGCTCCAACTCTCCCTCTTCTCACAGCAATCAAAGGGCTCACAGACATCCTGGCTTCAGCCACAGCACAATCTCAATGTGCCCCGCTACACTCCCAGTAAGTGAAGGGGCCTCATGTGCAACAGGGGCTCCCACAGTCAAAACAGGAATCCCAATGAGTGCATAAGAGACTCAAATCATAAGCAGAAATCTCCACTGAATCCCACCAGTTTTTCATATTACCAATCATTTCTCAGTGAACTGAAACTGAAACTAACCACCACTACTTGAGAGTTTTGTCAGAAGTAAACCTATGAATGTCCTAACTCCACCAACCTGGTTTCCTCCTGAGACTAATCTCTTAGTGACTGGGTTGTGCTTAGCCCTTGACAAGAGACAAAGGGAATGTTCAGGTCCACTCCCCAGCACTCAGGACCCCTGGTCTGTGCTGATCCCCAGGGAAGGATTGCCTGACGTCTGTGAACAGTAAATAGTCAGGACAGTTTGTCACCCACCTGGCCCCATAAGAGCAGCAGAGAGTCTTATGGTGTGGCTAGGTATTTGGCTTCCCCAAGTCTCTGTCTCATTTCCCCCAAGATCTCAGGAACCACCAAAGGGTTTTAAGGATCCCATGTGCCTCACGGGACTAGCATGTGGCTTCAGTATGCTTGGTTGGCCTCTCCCTCATGCAGATACTTTAGGGACCCTACTCACTCTGGTTCACCTACATTCTTTAGCTGACCTCTATGTCTCTGGACCATCTGAACACCAGAAACCAAAGAAACATTCTCAATCATACACAATAAATTCAGACCGCCATAGTGAAAACAATGAAGGTTTCTGCTCAGGGTTCCCAAAGCATCAATCTGCTGATTTCATTTTTGGGGCGAATAAATTGAAATTCCCAAAATGAGGTTCAGACACCAGAATGCTACTGAGGTGAACAAGAAATGGGGGAATCTATGAATCCCTGATCCATACATCCATACAACAAACTGAGCTGGACTTTTTGATGGAGTTTTGGTGTCTGATCTAGAGCCCATCTTCTCTCAGATTGGGTGAATTGAAGATTTCTTCTGTGGCCCAAAGTAGAAGTAAATGTGGTGGAGGATTCTAACTGAGCCAGGAATTTTAGCTTGGACGAAATCTCACCAATCAGTGTTCTCACAAGTCATTTTTACTGTTTACTACGCTCCTCCTCTCCCTCAGGGCTCACCAGTCCTTCACACTCACAGGCCCTAGGCCAGATGAACAGAGGCAAACAAAAATCATTGTCACTAAGTCATTTGTAATCAAGAAAATAAGAGAAGGTTGGAAAGGGCATCTTCCAAGACAGTGCCCAGGGTGGGAGTGAAGCAGAGGCCTTTGACCCGGACGTGGGCACGGTGGGTTCCTCCTCCTCGGGGTCAGACTCAGATAGCCAGCCAATGTTGCAGCTGCAGAGAAAGATGGCAAGGTCTCTATGACAGGGTTGTGGCAGGTGGGGGCCAAAGGCACAAAGTCTAGCTGGGTGGCAGGAAAAGAGGAGGCAGAACAAACAGTCCCATCCTTTCACAGCCCTTTGAGTACAAGCAGTCTGATGCTCCACTTGTCACTGGGCCCAGAAAGTGCAAAGCAGGAGGCATGGGTGGCCCTTGCTACACACCAAGAGCCTCTTCATTCCCAAATCCTGGTATTTTTAAGGGAAAAGAGGATAAGGGTATGGCCTAATTTGATGACACTCCATAGTGACAACTCACAGAGGCAGAGTAGAGTTGTAGGAGAAATTAGGCATTTAGTGACCCAGGACCAAGGAGCAAGGGCAGGAGAAGGCTGGGCACAGGCCCTTCTCCTCCTCCACTACAACACCACAGCCTACAGACATGCTTGGTTTTCTGGTTGTGGGGCCCTGCCTTGGGCACACAGCAGGGAGCTTCGAGGGACCACACCAAGCCCTGGACACTGCCCCAGTCATTAAAGTTGTACGAAAATGTTGGCGGGGTTCAGGAAAGAAAGGAACCCTTCTCCATTGTTGGTGGGAGTGCAGACTGGTGCAACCACTATGGAAGTCAATATGCAGATACCTCAAAAAACTAGGATTAGAGGCTCCATTTGACCCAGCCATCCCTCTGCTGGGTATCTTTCCAAAAGAATTAAAAGAATCATACCACAGTGATATAGGCACACCCATGTTTATAGTGGCACAGTTTGTAACAGCTAAAACTTGGAAGCAGCCCAGTTGCCCATCAGTTGGAAACTGGATAAAGAAAATGTGGGTTTTCTATAAAATGGAATACTACTCAGCCATAAAGAATGAGAAAGTAGATTCTCATTCATAGGTAAATGGGTACATTTTGAGGATATACTCCTGAGTGAAATAAATAAGCCACACATGTGTAAATAACAAATAGTTTCTCTGGTGTGAAAAACTAAAATAGTACTCAATATCCTAACGGGTTAATCAGCAATGTGAAACAGGAAGAAAAGGACTAAAGGTGTATGGACAGTGAAAAGGGTAGGGGAAGGGGAATAAGGGAAAGAAAAAATATGTGGGGTGAAGGGAGGGTGGGGACAAGGGGAAAAATGAGAAGAAAGACCTGTCATGTAAAGGTACAAGATCCCAGTAATGAATGTTGTACTGTCTACATAGAATGTCCCAATAAATTCAGTTAAATAAATAAAAAATAAAGGAAACAGGGCCAACCCTCAAAAAAAAAAAAAAAAGTTGTACTACCTGGAACTGCCTGATTTCCCTCTGGGCCACCAGGTGGTGCTCATTCTCCGGTGTGATGCCATAAGCCAGTCTCTGAGGAGGGAGAAGGAAGGGGCCTTAGTCTGGTTCTGGTTCTGGTTTCCCCCCCTCACGCCAGCTGACACCTGTGATTTGGTTTCCTGTTATTTGCTCCTGAAGCCCCACATAGATCCATGTAAGACACCCATCCCAGCCCACCCATGTTTGGGAAGCTGGTTGATGTATTTTGAATCACACATCCAATGACTGTTTCTCAAGCTGCCTATTGTGGTTGACACTGGCTGGCCCTGTGGACCCTGAGCTGAAGGAGCCCTGAAGTCTCTGTCTGGGGGAGCTGACAGCCGTGAAACGGACTGACACACAAATACACTGTAAACCAGTAAATGTTACAGTGAGAATGTGGAAGGGGCACCCAGCCCTGCAGGAGATCAGAGAAGGCTCCCCGGGGTATAGGGTGCCAGGCACTGTACTAAGTGCTTCCTTTTCCTTATCAAGGTACACGGCATTAGCTTCAGGTTACAGATATGGAAACTGAGGCTCAGTGGGATAGCAACTCAACTGACCGCCATGGGATGCCACCTCCCCTCCTGTCCGTCCCAGCCCCCCCAGCTCTGTGGCTGGCCCAGAGCTCACCTCCCGAAGGGAGCCCGGTGCGCTGAGGCACTTGTAGATGATGTAGCCAGGGACCAGGGCCATGGATGAGAGGGAAATGGCCCATCCGATCCAGTTGGCCCAGGCGGGGAAGACGTAGTCATCATAGGTGAGGGGTTTGAAGTTGATGATGCTGACCACCACCACGAACTAGTAGGAGGAAGAACAAAAGAGACAGGTGGTCAGGGGAAGAGAGGGAAGAAAGGAGAAGGAGGAGGAGAGAGAAGAGAGACAAGCAGAGCAAAGGGAGGAGGAAGTAAAAGGAGAGACAAGCAGAGAAAGGTAGAGAAATGAGAAGAAGTCAGTGAAACGGGTTATAGGGAAAGGACAAGGCGAGAAAGGACACAGAGAAAGAAGCCCACCATGGTACCAACCAACAGACTGAGCATCCCAGTGGTCCTGTCTACATGACCAGGTCTTCTAGACCCCAGTAACTCCCCCATTAAGAAGCCAATATTCCCACCCCACTCCATCCTGAACACACCCTGGACACAAGCTACAAACCAGGAGGAAGGCCGGGCTGAAGAACTTCCAGCACAGTCTCCAGTACAGTCCCGGCTTAAACCCCATCATCTGCTGGATGTCGTTGCTGAACCTGTCCACACCTGTACGCACAGAAAAGGCCCGTTATGGTGGCCCACACTGACTCAGGGCCCAAGACCCATGAGGTTCTGGCCCTAAGGTGGACATCAAGGCAGTGAGTGATCTGCTGGGACTTGGGAGACCTAGGGACTGGGCACTTAGCTGATTCAGAACAAGGAAGAGGACAATCTCAAGGGCAGTGTCACCCTTTATGTTTCACCCCAATTAACTTGTAAGAGGGAAATTAGTGTGAAGGAAGCTTGCCTCAGGCTACAGAGCCTGGTTGTCCTGGCTCAGAATTCCAGCTTTTCCTTCTTGCTCACTCTTTCTTGGAAAATGACAACACTGTATACACAGTCATTATTGTACTCACGTGTATGCACATGTAAAATCCTGACGGCAATCACAGAAGAGGTTAGGTTCTTACATTGCATCCCTTCCTAACCCTTCCCAAGGGAAAATAAAAAACCAAAAAATCCAGGGCTAACACTGATGTCTTAATGTCTTACGTGGGATAAGGGAGGTAAACAATTATTTTCTCAGTTCGGCTCTAGAATAAGTTTCAAAATACAGAATAGCCAGTTAAGTTTGAAATTCATATAAATATTGTAATGGGAAAACATTAACATAAGTATATCCCATGCAATATTTGGGACATACTTATACTTTAAAAAAACTATTCCTTTTTTATCTGAAATTCAAGTTTAACTGGGGGTCATGTATTTCGTTTGCTAGATCTGGCAACCATATGCTAGAATGATTTCCATGACTCGAAGACCTACAGATTCTTTTGGTCTCCTCACCAGAGGCTGACACTCAGCATCTTCAGAAGTGTTTGTAGCCTCCAACTAAAGGGAGTGTGTTTAAAGATGAGCAAAGGTTAAGCAGATTTATTCTCAGTAAGCAGACTGTCCACCTCTGCAGATCCAGGGGCTGCCCTGGGAACAGAGAGCCCTCTTGCATCTCCAGGTAAAGGGGCTCCATGAGCACTGGGGACCAAGGCTTTGCCACATACTCACGCACCATAAAACCAGGAAACTCCAATGGCTTCCATAAGCACCGCAAACAGGATGGAGGTGCCTGCTGCAAAGGTGTCCAGTAGAGTCAGGACGTAAATTCCACCCTGGGCCATGGAGAGAAAAGCCTTGAGGCCATCTTTCACTAGAACTGTTGCATCCACGACTCTTACCTGTTTCCTGTCCCACCTGTTCAGAACCATCTGAGAACTCAGGTGACAAAGTTTGGGTTGCATTCTAAGAGCTCTGGAAGCCCCTGGATCTAAAGGTAGATGTTTCAGCCTACACAGTAAGAAGAGTTTCAAAGGGATTTTTGCTTCCCCAAATCAAACAGTTAACAGGGCTGCCTAGAAATCTTCAGGCAAAGATGCAGAAGGAGATAGCCATGGGTCTACTCAGAGGGGAACAGGTCATACAATTGAGGATGATACCAGCCTTTCTTCCACAGATCTCCCCAGGCTCAACCTAACCCCAACCACCCCAGCTCCAACTCTGAAAATGCTTTAACTTTATTAAAATGTAGTCTGAGAAGTCCAACCCCTTCTCACCTTGGTTATGCAAAAGAGGGCCATAAGAAAGGTACTAAGTGTGACGCCCAATGTGAAGAGTTTCCGGTGACGCTTCAGGACTTGGAAGTCATCAGCCAGGCCTGTGATGACCGCTTCCATGCCTCCCATCTGGAGGGAACCAGGGAGATGTGAAGCCGAAATGAGGCTTTATCAAGTACTTGCTGAGGCCTGAGATTCAAGCACCCTGGATACTGCCTGATCCTTGCCTTTCTCCCCATCCTCTCTTCCCTTTTCTGCCCTGATCTCAACCTAACTGAGAAAGCATCTGGGAAGGTGAAGCGATAGGTGAACTCTGATATGTTCCTAGTAACAAGTACCTGCCTCCTGCTAATTCATTCAGCCTCCATGGGGGCCGATAGGTTACATAGAGTGAAGGGACATAGGTAACACATTTGAATGTAAATAGGACCTTTTGGAAACACATATCAAAGAAGCACCCTAAGACTTTTGCCTGTTTTTCTAATTATCAAGCAAAGTGGTCACCTCAAACCCAAGACGTTGAGTCTGAAAGGCTGTCACATATCACTGCTATGGGCATATACATTGCTTATGAACCACTGCTGTAGCAGACAAGAAGTGAGCATGCCCCACACTCCCCTCATCTATTAGACCATATTCATCCAACTAGGATCCTCTCCCAGGAGCCTGAAAGCAGCCTCAGAATCCTTCCCAACACACCAACACACTGATCTCTGTGGATCTAGCAATTGAAAGGCCAAGGCAGAGAGAGGAAATTATTGGACAGCCTTACCAAGAGACTTTTTCCAAACCTCCAATGGTAGACAGAGACATAAAAAAATGTCAAAAATTCTATGCTTACATATAGGTAAAATAATCTAAGAAACTAAGGAGGTTCAAAATATTTTTGTTGCTTATTGATGATGAACTCTAAATGAATGAGAAAGTGCCTAGTTAAAGAACAAGACACTATCTGTGTCCTCTCTGAATGTCTCTATCTGCAAGAGAACAGTGTTAGGCTGACTTATCTTAAATCCCTTCTGACTTTGATTTTCATGTTGCTACTGGGGTTACCATTAGTTCTTGACTTTGACTAGCTCTTATCTCTTTGCATTAAATAGGGCCTTTGAAAAAAGCTATTAACCAGGAGTCCAAATTGTGGGAAATTCAGGCTGAGTACGCAGTATGTGTGTGTTGGGGTGAAGGTTGGAACCAGGGGAGGGGAGGGGCTGTCCCAAGTGGAGTCACTCACTGAGCTGTCAAGACCCAGAGTCAGGAGCATGATGAAAAACAAGATGGCCCAGAATGTAGATCCTGACAGGGTAGAGATGGCTTCTGGATACAGGATGAACACGAGGCCAGCTCCTGTAAAAAACATCAAGGACCTCATGAATGGCTGGGACTGTTGATGAAAGCTGCAGATGAGAGAGGAGCATTCCAAGGCCCAATCAGCTCCCACCAACCCCCAGAACACTTTTGAGCACTGCCGACCAAGAGTCCACAGACGAAGCCAGTGAAGACTTATAGTTCACCTGTGCTCATGTTTCAATTATTAATGTCTTCTGAAGGACCTTGTATTAAAGGCTTAGACCCCAACTTGGCACTACTGGAAGGTGGTAAAAACTTTAAGAAGTAAGCCCTTGTAAGATGACTTCCAGTCATTGAGGATGTACCTCTGAAGGGGATAGTGAGATTCTGGCCCCTCTTTCTTCTTTCTCTTAAGTATTCCAGATATGAAATAAGAATTTATTCCACCTACAGTTTCCCCACCATAATGAGCTTGCTTGTTACAGGCCTAAAGCAACAAGGTTAATCCATTATGAACTGAAAACTCCAAAACTATGAGTCAGAATAAACCTTTTTTAAATAATATGTTTATCTCAATTTGATTATCCCAATACAGTGAAAGAAAGCTGAATAACACAATATGTACATGAAGGAGGTTGACCTCAAACAGCCAGTCAGCGAGCAGTATATAAGCTACATTCTAGATACCCCATCTCTTATATGCCATAAAAGGTCTACTCTGTTTCTCAAACACTTATGGTTCTGAGAGCCTATTAGAAGCAGTTGCTCCAAAGGTCTTGACTTCTTTGTGGCAACAGGAATCTAGAAAGCAGTGGAGAAGGCCACAGGTTCCAGAGTCAGACTACTGGGATTTGTACCCTGGCACCATTGCTCACCGAAAGGGTGACTTGGACCACAGACTTAGCCTGAGTCTGAGTTTTCTCACCTTTTTGTGGAATCTATTAACACTTGCCTCACAGCATTGGGAGAATTAAACAGAAGTGTCTTTCTATGGTTTGAATAGTTTGTCTCCACCAAAACTCACGTTGAGGCTTTGTCCCCAGTGTGGCAAAGTAGAGAGGGGATGGAGCTATACAGAGGCTACTAGGTTGTTAGAGGGATTAATTTTCTTACAAGAATGAGTTCTTGCTCACTAGAGATTGGATCGGTTACTGAAAGTGGGTTGTTATAAAGTGAGGCCACTCTATGTGCTTGGCCTCTCCTACACATAGCTATCCTCCTCCTTCTTTTCACTTATGACTTGAGCTGTATATTGCTCTCACCCTTCGTCAGGAACTCAGCACATGCTGGCACCATGCCCTTAGACTCCCAGAAGTGTGAACTAACAGAATCTCTTTCATGTATACATCACTTGGCCTCAGGTATTTTTCAGTAGCACCAGAAAATGGACTAAGATATATGATAACTGCTCATCACAGGTGCTAGTAGGAAAGGAACTCCAAAATCTTTTTCTCCAAGCCTGACACAGGGCCCAAGATTGCTTATTATTTTGAATGACAAGCCCCAAGGGAAAGCCCACCAACTGGGTAGTGCAGAAATGTCTGTGGTTAGCTTTTTTAGTCCCACACTCACAGAAGAGCTGTGCAGTCAGGAATTAGGTGCCTTTCCAAGCCTGTACTTCTCTGAGGCCAAAGTTCTGTGCCCACCTACCTTCAGTGGCAACATCCTCAATATTGACCTTGTGTTCATGAGCCATGTAACCAAGGATGGAGAAGATGGCAAACCCAGAGATGAAGCTGGTGACACAGTTGATGGTGCTGGTCAGCAAGGCATCTCTGGGGGAAAGAAATGATGCTGGTTTAAGTGTACCTGACTCCCACACCTGAAGCCTGCTCATGGATCACTGGTCTTCTACAGAAACTGCAGTTTAGACCCAGTATCGAATGTAATTGCTCTTTTCTCTTGCCTTGCCTCCACATGGACCCAGACCCATCATTACTGGACTAGAATCTGCTGGTGTGGGAAGTAGACGTATAGCTTATTGACACCAGAGACTAGGGTCAAACTCTTGTTAGAGAACTGAATCACTAGCCTTATTAGGCAAATTTTTCATGGCTCCTCAAGGCCTCCAATTCCTCAGCCTGCATTTAAAATCTTTGCTAAGATAACCTTCTGTCTGGGCTTATTTTTCATGACTTCCAGTGTAATTTCTTTGAATAAACAAATTCAGTCAACTTCCTGGTCCATAAACACCGTCTCTTTGCCTTTGTTCAAGCTGTTTCTCACCACTTATGTCATCCATTCCCTGCCTGCCTACTATAATCCTACCTGGTCTCCAAGATTTGCCACAAATACACCTCCATGCTCTTGCTGGTACCCTACCAAGGAGCTAGCCACCCTATGTCCTTACCTCCTAAAGCCTGACATACTTCATGCACCCACCGTATTCTTTCTTGTGTTAAAAACACAGATTTTGCCTTACCCCAAGGATGGAGTAATGAAGATGAGCTGAAAGTCCCCATCTCTGAAGCCCTCACAACCCTGGCCCTGCAGGAGGCAGCAGTAAGTGTTTATTAATCTGAGATGGAGCAAGTAGCCTGAGTCCCTGTTTGTCTTGAAGTTTTACCTCTGATAGAGCCACTTCTCACTAACCTGATTACTCTACCTCTGCCTGCTGCAGCATCCAGCGGACACTCAGGTGGCACCATATGCTCTGAAAGGCACACTGCGCACCTCTGTCCAAGCTATATAGCTTCATGATATCCTAACCATAGTGACCTCACCTTTCTCAGCTTGGCATCTTTGTGTTATGGTTTAGATGTAAAATGTCTCCCAAAAGTCTATGTTTGGAAATGGGGCCTGGTCAGAAAACATAGGTCACTGGTGGCATGATTTGGAAGGTTGTATTCTTGTCCACAGGTTCTACCTTCCCTTTCTGCTTCCTGGCTTCGATAAGGTGAACAGTTCTGCTCCATCATGCCCTTCTACCCTACAATTTCTGCCTAGGAGCCGCCTAACCATGGACTAAACCCCCTAAAACGGTAAGCTAAAGGCCTCCTGGGATGAATGATACTCATTAGAACCCCATAAGCCATTTCACAGTTAGAGAATGCCTGGAATTGTCCAAAAGAAGAAAATTTGATTTGGGCAAGGATAGTTGGCTTTCAGATCAGTCAGTGTCCTCTCTCCTATCTCCATAAGAGTCAGTCCTCAGGATTCAGTTTTCTATAATTCTGAAAGAAGCTTACCTATAACAATTGTTGTCAAATTTGTTGTAGCTGGCAAATGCAACCAAAACTCCAAATCCAGCCCCCAAGGAAAAAAATATCTGAGTTGCAGCATCAATCCACACCTACAAACAGCAGACAAATGCCATTAATCTCTTCTTCCTACATATTTGGACTATCCTAGTGCATGGGAAAGGTTTTAAGCTCTGGGGATACTTTGAGAACAAAGAACATGGTCTGAAGCAGAGATGGGTGGGCCTTCAGGGAACTCCCTTTCCCCACCAGACAGGATAGGGTCTCCGTAATATCTCCTAGCCTGAGATATTTATGAGTTCCCTGGAGGAACTCGCTGAGTCAATTTAATATCCCAATTTTCAAAGAAGGTAAATAAACTGAAAATTGTAGGCTGGAATGTTGTCTGGACAGTTCAAGAGTTTTGGAGAAAACTTTTACAGAAAAGGATAATGATTCATAGTAGACTACCAGCACACAGATAGTGGTTACTGTGGAAGAGCGTCCTGGGAAGCAATGAGATTTACTTGTTCCATCCTTTTGGTGATGAAAGCTCATGGTTGGAGGTCTGAAGACCTGAGCCACTCTCCAGCTTCTCTGTTTCATTAGTTATCCCTGGTCAGTTTCATCTCTCTGAAGCCTCAATTTCTTCATCTGCATGGTGGGTGGATAATTATACCACTCCAACTGAGAGCTGCAAATGATTTCTGTCATCTCCCAACTTGTATTATCCCAGGTTTTCTCAACGTTGCAAACATAATGAGAGGAACTTCTTGATAAGGGAAGATAGATCTATCCCTTGAGACTACACTAACCGTCTCATTTCTACACATTTGAACAACTGGGAGGAGCTAAATAAATGCAGAAAAAATAGAAGTATGCTGTTGTTTCACAAATCTGAAGACTGATTCGTGTCCTATGCTGTCATCTTTTTGACAGTTACTAGTGAAATAGGTTTTCTCTTGGTCATTGATCTATGACACAGTGATGCATTGGGATTAGAATTATGGGAGAGCACATTGGGGTGGATGTTTTCCTCCTAATCCTATGTTGTTCCTGCCTGCGAGTATCACTGTGGATTTAAATTAAATGTAAAGAACCCCTTGCGAATTGTGAGGAAAAAATGTTGAGGTTTTCTTCCTGAGGTGGACCTGGAAGAGGAGGCTAGACATAAGCCCAGTTTTTATTTGAAGATGTGATGGTCACTGCTTCCACTCTCACCCTGCCACATTGGATTCTGTTACCAAATTCACCTTTCTTCATTGAAATTTGGGCCTCTGGGCAGGATGGTGAGCTAGAGGAGGCTGCTGCATGACAAAGGTGTCATGCCCATGTCTCCCTGGTGGCTGAGGCTGCTCTTTACAATAAGGGTGAGCATGGGATGTTGACAAAGGCCAGGACTGAAGATTAACAAAGTAGAAATAAGACAAGAATGGCTGGTATGAGGTAATATGCCATGGGCACAAGACAGGAGTAAGTGCCAAGGACATCATGTCCCCTTCACAGGGTATGGCTCTCCTTGCAAAGGGTGGTTTGTGAAGGCCACTAAATGGAACCACAGAAGCCCAGACCATCAAAACCAAATGCGCTCATGGAGATTTTCAATCCAAATCTGCATGTATCTCATGGAGAAGCTCCTGCTCAGAGAAGGATCTTTTTCCAAGTCTAACTCCAAGTTTGTAACAAAGCTGGGGCTAGATTTTTCCAACATCAACCCCTACTGAGAACCCTCCCAGCACTCTGGCCCAAGGCTGGGTGGTCACCAGCACTGACTTACCGTGGCTTCCTTCAGACGGTAGAAGTCAATATGCAGGTAGGCGCTGATGCCATCGGAGGCACCGGGCAGCGTGATGCCATGGATCAGGAGCACAAACAGCACGAAGTAAGGCAGCGTGGCAGTGATCCACACCACCTGGGCAAAGCACAAGCTAGCTATGAGAGGCTCACTCTGACTGTGACTTAGCAGTAGTTAGAAGGGACCTTGAGGGGGAAAAAGGGTTCTTTCCTTGAAAGAATATTGTGCCCTCCCACCACGTTTCTTTACTCAGTGCACATGCCACAAGCTCCATCTCCAGGCCAGGTCCTGAGCCAGAGTCAGAGACAGAAAAGTCAGTAGACATGGGTACACTGTGGGGAGGCTCAAAACCAAATAAGCGAATCACTAGGTGAACAGTGTTGAGATGGAAGTGAAGGTCACAAAGATGCAGATGGCCCCTCCTCTGAAAAGTGCCTCCTGACCTCTCAAGTTGTTTCAGGGAGAACTAGTACACCCACCTTGTTGTTTTTCCCTTTCCCTGCAGTCCTGTATCCATTAAACCATTGGTATTGGCTGCTTCACCCATCTTTTCTTTTCCCAGTACTGGGGATTGAGCCCAAGATCATCATACTAAGATACATTCCTAACCCCTTTTCATTTTTTATTTTGAGACAAAGTCCTACTAATTTTCCCAGGTTGTGCTCAATCTTGTAATTCTCCCACCTCAGTCTCAAAGAGTGCTTAGATTTCAGGCATGCACAACTATGCATATTTTCTATGTATAACTCTTTCTCCTCTCCTTTCTCTTTTCTCTCTCTTTTTTCCTTTTCTTTACTTAATTACATACACCCCCTTAGCATTGCCCAAGAAACAGCAAAATCTTTGGTCACTGCCTATCTTGGTGTGAAAAAAAATAGATGATAGATAGATAGATAGATGATAGACAGATATAGATATTAAATAAAGATAGATAAAGACAGCATTTTTGTGATCCAAAACACAAAAAGGAAAAGATTATCCTCAGGAGTACTTTATCCAGTGCCTTGTCCAGGTTGGAGGAAAAGAGAAAGACAATAGGGACAGGGGAGTTTGTGTGGGATTTTCACTCTTCTTTATGCTCTGCCTACACATAGGAGCACTCTGGAAAAAGTTCTTGATAAGAATGTAAAGTGCATTGAGGCACTGCGGCATATACCTGTAAACCCTGCTACTCAGGAGCATGAGGAAGGATACCCAAAAGAGAAAGAGGAGGAGGGAGAGGAGGGAAAAAGAAGAAGAAGGAGAAAGAGGTGGGGGAGAAGAAAAAGAGGAAGTGAAGGAGGAGGAGGAAAAAAATTGAGGGGGTAGGAGGAAGAGGAAGGTAAACCTCAGTTCTCAGTCTAAAGTTTATGATTTAATTAGTGGAAAATGAAGCCTTAACATCAGTATTTTTCAAAAGCTCCTCTATTGACATCAACATACAACTGAGGTTAAAAACTTCATTATAAGCGGATACAGCTATGGGCAGCCTTATAGAATAAAGGAATGTACCCCAAATAGAAAACCACATCAGGGCCAGAGAAGCCAGACCCAAGGAAGACTCAGCTGAAGCACATCTTAAGGACAAGATGGTTTATCCCTACAATACTCTGGCACTGTGAAGTTCCAAGTGTTTTCACATAAACCCTGCAGGAAGAAATGGAAGTCTTGAAATACAACTGAGGGTAAATAAAGTTCTTTGTCAGCCTAGAAAGACATGGGCTCAACAAAAACTGAAATGTAGAAAATAGAGTCATATTTTCCATATTTATGTTTAAAGACTATCTTCTTTCCTTATTTATCATGAGCCCCTTAGAAGAAAATTCCACATTTTTTCAACTTAGCACTGATGGGTCCTTTAAAATGTGTGTTGAATGAATAATTGAACAGTTGCACAGATGAACAGTTGGGTTGTAGATAGATGAATGGATGACTGGTTGCATAGTCATGTTGGATGGTAGATAGGTGGTGAGTGGTTGAATGGATGGATGGACATGTGGATGAGTGGATGAATGACAAATTACAAGGTTACTGGGTGACTGAACTAGTTGGAGAATGAATGAACACATGTACAGGTGAATGTATGAGAAAATGGGTCAGCAAGTAAGTAGACACATCAGAGATGGTCACGTCTGGGATTTGAGGGAATCGAAGAAGTCTCCCCTTTCTATGTTATTCCATTGTCCCTCTATCACTCCCTTCTTCTATGAGGTCTTTGTGGACTGAGACTCTTGGCTTCATTTTTTTTAGGAAGGAAGGAAAAGGGAAGACAAACTTCCAATGACAAATAAGGAGAAAACCATTTCCTAGAAAGTGAAGCTGTTGCAGTCAAGGGGCCTCACACTGGTCTTAGAATCAATTTCCCAAACTGAGACAAAAGGATCTAAATCCTTGGCACAGACACAAAGAAGAGCTTTGAAATAGCCTCGTGATGAGTCCTAACTGTGGTCCCCTACAACTCATGTCAACAGTTGCAGTCCAGCTGCACTGCCCAGCCCAGCTGGCTGGGTGGGACCACGCTCCTCCCATCAAAAAACAACACCCCAGCCATGTCAAAGGAACCCTTCTTAAAGAGTCAAAGGAATCTCCCATGGGGCCTGAAGGGAGCCCTGCACAGCCCATGTGTGAGGTTCCAACATGGATTGACTTTCTCTGAGGAACATACCAGGACTTAATGGAGCTATGACTATAGTCAAGCATCAAGAAGGGGAAGTTTGTTTTTAGAGCTAAACCATTAAAGTCTTACTGAAGGCTCTCAGAATTGATGGCAGATGTGAGTTCAGCTGCCTAAGACCTTGTGTCAAATGTACGGCTCCTAGATCCTTGGGCCACAGCTCACTCAAGCTCATGCATACCCTACATGCACCCTGGGTGAAGACAAAGGACATTTGAGCTCTTTCATCTCAGGCCCCTCTGCTCTCAAAATTTCATCTTATGATGTATCTGTGGCCACAAGAACCCAGATTTGGCCCAGTTTTAAGCTTTACACACACAAAAAAGACGATGAATCAGACAAAGTTGGGCACTCCCATAATCCTAGCTACCTGAAGACTGTAGGAGGGGGGTTGCAATTTCAAGGCCAGCCTTGGCTGGAGATGTAGCTCAGTGGTAAAGCACTTGCAGAGTATGGACAAGCCCGTGGGTTCAGTATCCAGGGCTAGAGACAGACAGAGATGGAGACAGAGATAGATAATTAGAGCCAACACAGTAATGGGAAGACTTGACTAGAATCATGATTCAAATATGAAAGTGATGAAACTATCTATTAAATAGAACTCAGGTTTTCTTTGAATCAGTCTGGCTTTCCCTTTCCTCAATTCCACCAACTCTGCCAGGATTCAGAAACCTAGTTCCATCTATTCCCAGTCCCCTCAGATCCTAAAGGCTAGCAGTGAAAGGGCAGAGTTGTGATCCCAGCCAGCTTTGTTGTCTTCACTGATCTCCAGTCCGAGGGTGAGCCTGAGGTTTCCCTAAGTTGACTCCAGTATATAAACTGAGTGGGTGGCAAGTCTAGTGACTGGAAGGGCTCAGCATTGCAAATACTGAAGTGCTCAATAGGCCAGCATGGTTATCAGCAACCCCTTTCCCTGGCCCATACTGTACCCCAGCCCACTCCATTTCAGGGGCCTGTACATCTGCTTCTTCCTGAGCACAGCCTTTTCTTGCCAAAATGGGAAGTGTGTACATTTGCAAGTCATTTCAGGCTGGCTCTGGGGCTAAGGAAGTCTGCTAAGGAAAGCTTGGTATCCTGTTCCAGACACACTCCGGGAAGAAATAAGCAACACTTTTGGCTTTCTCATGAGAGAGTTTATGAAATCAACTCAAGAGAGGGTATAGCATTCCAGAAATACCCTCCTCATGGACTGCCTAGGGCCTCTTCCTGCTCAGCTGCCAGAACACTAGGGGTCTTACGCAAAATGTGGGTTGTGGCTTTAGTTAGCTCATGCAAGGGCACTCATATTACTCATTCTTCATGTTTCCACATGTGGGGACTCCCCTCGTGTAATATTCTAGTCCTGCCCCTTACAACACTCCTTTGGACCTCTCTGTAGCACTACTCAGCCTGCAGACTACTAATACTCTACTCTGGGAATGCAAAACTAGATGGAGTAGGTTTTATCCTTTTGCCAATGGTTGTGGGAGCTTTATCTTGGGTTGCAATATTAGGGTAGATGAGAGTAGGACATTCAGGACAGTAGGCCATATATCTGCAGTTTATACAGGTGGACTATGACTCACCTTGGGGCCTCTCCAGAGGCCAAGAGAACCCTGCTAACCAAGAGAGGCACAGAGAGGTACTAGCATTGTGGAATTATGCTAGTCTGGGGCTTCTACATTTCTGTGGCTTTGCTCACTCCATTCCTTCCACTGAGAACCTCTTCCTTCCTGCTTTTTTCAACCCACATCTGTCCTTACAGATCCAACACAAATGCCACCTTTTCCATAATCTTTGCTGACTGTCTCAGTCAAAAGAGCTTTATCCATTAATGTAGCATCTCATACCTTTTGACCATAACCCATGTTAAGGAATATTTTTTACCTCATATGAAACTGCACATAAACACATAGCCTGTCATAGCAAACATAATTCCACAAGACATCTCTCATGTTAATGTGTGTAATGTACTCTCATTAGTTAGCCTATTTAATTTTTAAAAATTGTGACAAATTGCTAAATTTACTTAATGATAGTTTAAAAGCCCACAGCTTATAGTTCTGTTAAGCTATAACCTGGCCATCTGATGTTAAATCATTCCCAAGGTAAAATTAAGTTTAAAATAAATGCAAGATATACAATAGCATTTAGAGCTTGTTACTATTGATCTTGATTTAAAAGGGGACATGCAGATATGTCTCTGAATAGAGACCCAAGACACTGGCTAATTCATAACCTGTCTGTAAGCAATGAAGAAAGCATTTATCTTATTCTTGTTTCACTCATATTAACATATAATTGGTGTCCATAATGTTTAAAAGTTGAACTGAATTCCAAAGAACACTTAATGTAGTTCCCCAAAGTTATTTATTTATTCTTCATCGATCTTTCAACAAATATTTGCTGCAGACTGACTATGTGCCAGCCTTTGGGAAGGCAGTGATCTTAGATTGGTTTTACTCTGCTCCAGAATCCCTCTAGTCCCTGATCTTTATTTTGTTTGGGTACTTTCCTAGGGCTCACACTGTATCTCCAACATACTACTAGGAATTCCATCTCTTACTCTTGACAGACTGTGTCCTCACTGTCTGCTGGTCCCCTGTGCCAATCTTTGTTCCCAAAGTCCAGTTAAAAACCAAGATTTGGCCCAGGCAATACCACACAAAGCAGAAGGACCACTCAGACGACCTTAGTCAACTCCTGGAATCATCACAGACAATAAAATGGTCGTTATTTACATCACTGCATTTTGGAGTGGTTTGCTACATAGCAATAGCTAATCAAAACACAGGAAAGCACAATTCCCAGATATATCTTCTTTAATACAGTCAAGTTCTAGGTCTCACAGGGCCCCAGTTGGTCATTGATCCCTGATGTCTCTTAGACTAAGAGTCAGTGGAGTTGTTTCTTTAAGGTACCTAACTCTGAAAGGTTGACTATTAGAGGGCAGTGTAGCCCAAGTTCAGAATTTCACCTTTCTACTGCTCTTCATAGGCCAACTGACCCTGTGTTTCTTTCTCTAAACTACTAGACCCTTGGTGATGCTCAGGACAATGTTCGAGGAAACACAAAACCACACCATCCATCTAGATATCTTCTGGGACATTCTCTTTTACTCAAAAATTTAGGGGAGAAGGATTTATTGATTTGAAAATAAAGTAAATGGTTATATTTCAAAATAAGCTGCAACATTTGTGCAAAGTTTTAGGCCAGAATTCAAAATATATCAAAGACATGTCAACAGTAACATTCGGATTTGGCTCAAGGCTCTTGTTCGTGCCCCATGCCCTGACCTTTGCTTTTCGTAGAGCTTAAAAGGAAACAAGTCCTGATCTACCTGCATCCACTCCTGCTTTCAGGGCAACTTAGACCTAGGAAAGGGAGGGGTTGTCATTTTAGAGGCAGAACCCAGGCTGACCCAGGCTCAGTACTTTCCTAATTGCAACTTGGCTTTTCAACAATGATATGGTTATAGCTAGAAAAATGTTTTCTTTTCAAGACCAACCTCCCCCAAAATAGAGAAAGTAAGAGGCATTACCTTCCCTGATGTCTTCACTCCTTTCCAGAGACTGAAATACAGGATGATAACGATGACCATCAGACAGAGTAGGAGCTGCCACTGGGGCAGGCCAATGTCATGAATCCCGCTGCTCTCATGAAGATGCAGGACACCACGCCTAATGAGAGGAGAGGGGAGGGGACCAGGGAAGGTGGTGTCAGGGTAGATGTTATGGTTTCTATCCAGAATGTCCAGCAAAACTCTCATGTACTGAACTTTGAGAAGGTGATGGGGTCGTGGAGGTGCTGAATTTATTAGTGGATTCATTGACAACTGAGAGTACTGTTGGAAGGTGGGGCCTGGTCTGAAGAGGAGGTCCACTGGGGGCCTGAGCCAGCAGCTATGTTTCTCCCTCCCTATGTCCTCCCTTTGCTCTCTTTCTTGGTCACCACGATGTGAGAATCTTTCCTCTACCATCACCGTGCATTTCTGCCTTGAAGCCAGCCAACCAGGGACTGTCCTAATGGGCCCAAATTAACCTCTCCTCTTTAAGGGTGTGTCTCACTGTGTCTCAACAAAAAAACGCATGACTAAGATGGAAGTCAAAGCCAAAAGAACACAGATGAGGCAGAAATTTAATTCCATTCATTTAAAGTGCTACAAAACTAAAGGTAAGATTAAACTTAAAGATTAGAAGTCAGAAAAGGTATAACCTGGGATGGGAAGTAAGGGTTACTGCCTAGAGGGGACCCAGGGGTTTTTCAATAGACTTGTCATGTTCTTATTCCTGATGTGGGTGTTGATCACATGTTTATGTTCAGTTGGTGACATTCAATGACCTGTTGCTTGATGACTTTACTTCTCTGAAATATTTTATCCTTGAAAAAATGTGGTGTTTTAAAATCAAGGCACCAAACCACAATAAACACCCTGGAAGTTTGAAAATATTAATGTCCTTCATACACTGTACAATGAGGGAATCATAAACATAATTGCAAGCAAAATGATCATTTACTAATTAGAAGCTAATCATTAAAGTCACTTAGGATGCAGGTCAAATAAGACTAATTGCTGAAACAGTACAGCAGGACCCAAGGAAGGGAGGTCCCTCCATGCTGACAAATCCATTCCCTTGAAAGATGAAGCAGGAAGAGTGGGGACGCCTTGCTTTGTGTGACATTTGTTATGCAACCAAATCATGCCCTTATCTCTGAGGGTTCCCCACTAGCTGACCCTCGGATACACTGCTGCAAACAGCCTTGCATCAGTGGGCTTAAATTCTTTGTCCTGAAGGAAACATTAAATTTAATTAAGAATAAAATGTGGCAAGGTTTGGGAGAGTCCAGGGAGCTTCAGGGGGTCCCCAAAGTGCATCCCTACCTTATTCTCCTCTCAGTCTTCCACCCTCACACTGTAGTTTGCTATCAATTGCCCAATGTCTTTAAAGGCTCAGCTCCAATGTCACCTCCTCCTAGGGGTATCCCTGGTCACCCTTGTTACAAATCTTTAGTCTTTTCAGTTCCTGGAGCTGCTGTAGCATCAGGTTATTTGTATGCATGGAGGATGGCGCCAAGATTTCCTCACAGACGCCAAAGTCTGTGGATGCTCAAGTCCCTTTTATAAAATAGCATTGTATTTTACACATATTCTTCTATGTACTTTAAATCATCTCTAGATTATTTATGATGCCTAATAGAAAGGGGATACTACACAAATTGTTGTTAAATTGCATCATTTAAAGGAAACTGTATCAATTGTCTGTACATGTTCAGTACAAATGTGATTTGTTTTAAAATATTTTCAATCACTGTGGCTGAATCCTGGAATGCTCACAGATATAAAGACAATGTTCTCTTGAGATGCAAAGGTAAATAAAGCACTCCCAGGTCCCCAGTGTTCAGCCAGGAATAGCAGCTGTACCTGTTAGCTCATAGCAGATTACTGGGTTAGAACCTAATTATTGTTTTTAGGACCCAGTTATTGGCTTAGGACCCCTAACTTTTCTTACAAGCCCCAACAATCCATTTTCTATAAAAGACGAGGCCACCTCAAGGAGAACTTCCAAGGAAAGGAGACAACTTCTTGCACACTCTCACTTCTTCCTTTAGCACCTCCTCCCAGACTCATGGTAAATGCCCAACATTGTGTTCGGGGCAGTTCTTTCATACTGCCCAGGGCAACCTTGCACTTTTCCATGCAGTAACTCAATTTATTTTATAGGTGTTCACCCTTGGCCTGAGGTCTGTTCAGAGGCTGATTGATAAATCCATACAGATGGGCTAGAGGCAAACAGTGATTTAATATATTGTCCTTCCCCAGAGTGATATCTTAATCCACAAGGATTTATTGATGGTAAAATGTTACACACTGCAATGGATAAGTCAGTTGACTCTCTCTCTCTCTCTCTCTCTCTCTCTCTCTCATCCATTCTTCTTCCTCCTCTTCCCCTTCTTTCCTTTCTCCTCCTCTTGTAAAGTACAAGTAAGGGGGTCAATATAATTTGAGGCCTTTCAACAAGAACAGTGCTCTCAACCCATACATTAGAATCACTTAGGGAGGGTTTAAAAATTACTAGTGTCAGAATAAGACTTTAAAAATGTTTTTTCATTAGAAAATTACTGCTATCTGCACCTCATTATCTATCAGTTAAATTGGAATTCTTGAGGAATGAGGCCTGGGTACCAGAATCCCGAATTTCCCAGGCGATGCTGAAGGACATCACTTGGACCTGAAGGGTCAGAAGCCAAATTAAATGAGAGATCTACTGGGGCAAAACACAGCTCATTCATTCACAAGAGATGTCTATTGTTTGTAAGAACATGAAGGAGAGTAGAAGAATGTGGCACAGAAGTGATTCAGGCTTTGGAGTCAGATAAACCTGATTCTCATTATGGCCCTGTGCTCAGAACCTGTGTGACCTTTAGTGCATTCTTGTGTGTGTGTGTGTGTGTGTGTGTGTGTGTGTGTGTGTGTGTGTGTCTGTTACTGAGGATTGAACCCAAGACCTTCACATTTAGCTACATCCCATCCCTTTCTCCCCCCACTCCCTATATGTTGAGACAAGAGCTTGCTAGATCACCAAGTCCCCCAGGCTGGGCTTGAACTTACTATCTCTCTGCCTCAGCCTCCCAGAGTGCAGGTTTAACAGGTACCTGCCACCATACCTGGCTTCCACAGACTTTCTGAACTCTACTCTGAGCCATGCAATGTGCAGAAGGCCGGTGATATGGCTGTGGACAAGTAGATGGTGGCAGAAGTCCACGTGGAGCTCCCAAGCAAGGCTTACGCAAACATCCCCCATCTCTGAGCCCTTTTCTACTTCAGTAAATGGCTCCCAAGAGGATTAAATGAGTGCGAGACACTGCAGGAACCTAAGAAACAGTCCACAAATGGCTACTGTAACTATCAGTATGACTGGATCCACACCTCAGCAGACATCAGCAAAGGAGCCAAGGAGTGGCAGCAAAGCTCAGCCTAGAGCGTCAGTCGGGAGGCTTGGCTGAGAAGGTGGCTGGAACTTTCTCTGCTGGCCTTTGGAAGAATAAGATGAGTTGATAGGGGTGTGTAGGTGAGAAGGAGGGAAAGGAGCATAAGAACACATGTGGAACGGTGAGCAAAGTTGTGTAGGTGATAGTGATCCAAGACAGAGGCTCCTCCCAAGAAAAGCCTCTGTCCACAGAGCCGCAAGCCAACTGTTGTGGCTTTGAACAGCTCACTGTGCCTCGTGGCCCCTGCAACTGGCCACTGTGCCTGGCCATCCTAATCCTATCTCTTGATCTGCTCCCCACTTTCCCCCAAACTCACTGTCCCTATCCTAGGCCCAACTCATACTCTCTCCCTCCAGGACAACTGAAAATTATCTCCCATCGCTCACCAACCCTGGTCTCTACCTCCTGCTGGCCTCCTTCAATCCACTCTTTGTACACTTGTATGGCAGCCCATCTGAAGTGTCACTGTAACTCTTCTGATCCCAAATCCTGTACCGACTCTTACCACCTAGAACAGTGGTTCTCAACAGGACAATCCTGCTCCCCAATATCCAGATAATTTTTGGGGGGCTATTATATATCTGGAGAGGAGGAAGATGGTGCTGGTACCTAGTGGGTAGAGGCCAAGGAGGCTGATAACATCCAAATACACAGGAAGTGCTCACCCTGCCCCAACTTCCCAACCCCAAATCAAAAGCATCAGGTTTGTGAAATTCTGGTCTACAGGACAAACGTAAGCCTTTCAGAATCTGAGGTCTGTCATAATCCACCTCCTGCCAAGTTTATCTCCGTTTTGCCACACCCTGTGCTTTTTTCCTGGCACTAGCAAGTCACTTTTCCACAATCATCCAATGCTCTCAGAGCTCTGGGGATGAGGACTTTCTGTTCCTGCAGCCTAGGACACATCCCAACCCAATTTGCCAGCCTGTAAAGCCCTGTCTTGCTAGTCTCAACTCAAAAATCACGCCTGACTTTGACCCTTCCCCAATTCCAATAAAGACAAGGAGGGAGGAAGAGGAAAGGAGAAGAAAAGAAAGAAGGGGAGGGGAGGGGAGAAAGGAGAGGGAAAGGAAGGAGCAGGGAGGAGAGGAGAGGAGTGGAGGGGAGGGAAGACTGTAGCTGGGTGTATCCAGAGATAGAGAACGTCTTGACTCCACCTGATGCTTAATTCTTCATCATCCCATGGTTTTATGTTCCAAGTATTAAGTATTTCACTGCTTTCAGTATTAAAATTATATAAAAATCACCAAATCACCCATGCTTACCCTAAACTTGCTAAAACGCCTCTGGTGACCAAACAGATGGCTGAAGAACACCCGCTTCAGTCTGGCTGACCCCACGTGCATTTGAAGGTCATTCCAGAGCGACAGTGGTTGTCTAGCTCTTCCCTCAGTGAAAAAATCCAGACTCTGCAGCTGATTGCCAGGAGAAGAAACGAGAATCCATTCTTCTAGGGGGCCCAAGCCAAGGGGTTTGACATAAGTAACTTGGGTTTGTTTCAGTTTTCCAGCAATTTAATGAAAATGAATCACCATTAAAGGAACTATCCAGACTTTCTGAAGCCTATGGGCCAAAAAGGCTCAATTTCTCACTTGTCATTGAAAAGCACAGAGAGTTAGTATGAGGGTAAAGGGAGACCTCTCTTCCTCACCAGGAGCTGGCATGGTATAGATGTTTTCTACTGAGAGACACATTTCCCCAAAAGTGTCTTTTTACAGATAAAGCCAGGGCCACAGTGTCTCTTCGGAGATGTGGGGCTCTTTGGCTTCCAGCCCAGAGCCTGGGGAGAACAGCAATTTTATTCTCTTGAATGATATGTTCACTCCGTCATCCTAAATGAGTACAAGATGGTAACAGAGTTGGCCAGGAGGTCTGGGGAAAGAAAAAATTATCTGATCTCCTGAGGGTTGGCACTGAGAGTCCTATTTTCTGGCTTCACAAGCTGAGCTGAGTGGTGTTTGAGAAAGAAACATTTAGACCAAAGAGCCACCTTTGACGTAAAAAAATGCAGAGGCAGCCCATGAGTTAGTGTTTTCCTCTATGAAGCACACAGGCAGGGCTGAGGTGTAAAAGATGTATGAGCAGATCTCCCATCACCTGCAGACACCACTGCACTCCTGTCTCCAGTACTGCCCCACCGGAGACTCTAACAGGATCGAGCAGATAGACAAGACAGGCTGCATATGTGGTACGAGCCTCGGGTCAGACAACGTGGATTCAGATCCTAGTTCTGCCACTTGCCTCAAACTCCACTGTCTTTTCATAAAGTGGGAGTAACTGCCACCTCCATGAACCACTGAGATTAAATGGTATTTGGATATGAAGAGTTCCTGGGTCCTGGTTCAGGGTAGCTATGAGATTGTAAGAGCAGGGGTGAGTTAAGGAGAGAAGAGAGGTCCACAGGGCAGGAGACTACAGAATTAACACTTCATTTTTTTCCCACTAAAATCTCCCAAGCCACTTCAGCCATGCACACACACAAAAAAAATGTTCTATTTTCCCACTACATTCTGCTCACAGGTGGGCGTGGAAGCAGTTTAGGCTACAATCAAAGTGACCGGGACCTCCAAACCAAACTCGCTTCTTCTTTCTGGATGTCTCTGCTAGAGTAGACATGCTGACCATAAAGATGTCAGAGCAGGAATCAGATACTAACTACACTAGAGGTGATAAAGCTATCTATTTGTAGTTTGATTTATAAGAACTGAGATTGCCAAGAGCCAAAGAAAAATCATGCTTTTTCCTGTCTAAGAGGACAAAGGGGAAAGTGTGAAACAAATCACATGGGTTAGTGGCCTCCTTCCACCTCCATCCTCACCATCTCCCGTCTCCCTATGTAAACCACACTCATAAAATAGGAAGCCTGAAATCTCCACCTGAAAGCTCTCCAACTTCCTGAGATCTTCTGAGGTCATGCTTCTTGGGAGAAGAGGAAAGAAGGCCCTTGATTTTCCATGACACTAGACTGTAGAAATGTCAACCTGACCCCTATGGGTATCTTCTTCTGAGACAGGGGAGTGCCATAGCGAAGACAAGGATCCTGAACACTGGCTCCATACAAATCCACATGTTCTTGTTGCACCCAGACGTGTGGGACCGAGTCTCTGGGGCAAAGGATCCAGGTAGTAGTGTGTTGTAAAGCCCTCTAGTTGATTCTAATGCACAGCCAAGATTGGAACCACTGGGCTAAGAGGTTGGGCCTTGCAACTGACTGCTTGGGTTCAAACTCACTTTGAATGTCATTTCTAACCTGGATGACCTTGCACAGGTCATTTACTGCTCTGTGCCCATTTCTTCATTCAAAAAATAAGAATAAGCTTGAGCCACCATGGTCATTTTTAAGAGGTAGTATAGAAATGTACTTTGCACAATAACTGGGACAAAAACTAAGCAATGGATAAATACAGGTTGAGACTCTGGCAACAACTCTCAATAACAACCATTTCTAGTACACAGCACAGCACATAAGTTAAGGGCACACGCTTTTCAGTTTTGCTGCCTGATGCAGCTGGGGCCAAAGTGAAGATAGTCAGTCCCCCATCTCCAGAATGAAAGCAGATGTTCACTTTCAGCAGCTTCATGAACAAGGGAAAGTGCTGTCTGGGTCCAAATCTTGTCTCTGCACAGAGTTAGCCACTTGGCCATGGGCTTTTCTGTCTGGTCAGTGAAGCCTCTTTGTGTGTGCAGGAAGGATAAGAGTTACAGAAACTTTAGTACATTGGTATGAGGCGTCAGTCAAAATGATTCATATGAAGAAGTTGGCAGACTGGTTAGCTGTTAATATGTCAGTAAAGAAGACAAGAATTAGTATGGTTACTTATACCAGATGTTCACTTTACATAACAGGATCCTTTGGGGAGTTAGAGAGGCATTTGAGCACAACTATGGGCTCATATAATTTTGCACTCGCCTTCTGGATGTCTATCGGAATCACAGATGGAGGCAAGTGGACATGCTGGGAAAGGACCCTATCCAAATTCTCCACGATGGCCCACTGAGGGTAGTTCCTGGATCCTAAGGACACTGATACTCCATGACTTAGGAGACACCGGACTTTACAGGGATCATTTTTAACCAAACAGAACCTCCTTGGTCCTGTTGCACTGAGGTGGCAAGAATAGAAATGATTGTAGGTTAGTTTCAAGCTCTAAATAATCAGGACTCATTTCTAGATCTTTGGCTTAGGGAATCCACAAGATGAAGCAGAGTGACCCTAAATCTTTTTCTCTTGCTCTACTTCTGTGCTTCCCCACAAAATAGAGACGGGTCACATGTCTATTGAGAGGTAAATGAATTGAAATAGAATACATTAAATCCTCAGTTCCTCAGTCACTAGCTGTATTTTGACTGCTGAATACCACACATGATGACTGACTACTGCATCAGACCATGCAAGTCTAGAATTTTTCTATCACCTCAGAAAATTTATTGGGAAATTTTGCTCTAGACCTGGAATCAGCAAAACACGCAGCCCCCTGGCCAAATCTGGGTTAAGGCCTATTCAGATATGCCATGTCAGCTAATGGCTTTTAGTATTTTAAGGGGTAAAATTAAACAAGATTATGTAACAAGGAACTATATAAGCAGAAAGGCCCCAACAATGTAGAACAGTGTGGGAACTTTTGCTCTAGATCATATATACCATGAAGATAAAGTTCCAGTGGGATTTATCTGCCCTTCCTCACAGTTTACGACCTGTACTTTGTACCTGGTTGCTAACATGTATATAGGGGTTGTTCAAGTGGGATTCATGTATATGTGAGTGATCAAGTGGATGTTGCATTTTCAGCACAGCACAAGGTAACTTTTTATACTGGGGTACTGGGCAATGAACAGAGGACCTTGCACTTGTGAGGCATGTGGTGGTACTACTGAGCTAAATCCCCAGCTACATGGTAAATATTTAAAATTGTTGGGGGCTAAGACTAATTTGACTATCTCCTTCCCCAAAGACAAAAGGACACAGTAATGTTGAGAGGACAGAAAGGGCAGCAAGTTAAATGAGGATGGTCATAAACACATACATACATATACATACATATATACATACATATACGTACATATATATACATATATATATGTAGTATATACACATATACTTATATATACACATATATATGAATTGTAATCAGCTAATATAGGAGGGATGATGGAAATAGAAATCATAAAAGATAAGCACTATTGTCTTGATTCTTGCCTGACACCATGTCCTTGACAAGATGCATTGAGAAAGGCACAGAATTTTCTCCATGCTCTTCTTGCTCAAAATGCATACCCTCAGTCTAATCATGAAAACACAACAGGCGAACTTGAATTGAGGGATATTTCACAGAATAACTGGTCAATATTCTTTAACAGTGTCAAGATCAGGAAACTCAAGGAAAGAGCAAAGAACTCTCTCAGACTGGAGGAGGCTAAGAAGACATGATCACTGCATACCAGAAGATGGCATTAGCAAGGAAATGGGGGAAATTCACAGGAGATCTGTAGTAGACTGCCTAATATGTATTATGTGAATGATAACTTCTAGCTTCCATAACTGTCCCCAGTTATATAAGGTGTCACCATTAGGGAAGTTGGGTGACAGGTAAGTGCACTATTGTTAAAACTTTTCTATGTATACAATCACCCCAACTTTTCCTTCCTTTCCTTAATTTTTAACAATTTTCTATCTTCCACCAACAGCTAGAGTCCCTCTCATATACATGCAACTCAAGCACTCTCACTAAGCTGCCTGCTTTAATTTTGCTCTCAAGATCCAACCACTTTCCTCCTGGAAGGCCTCGAGGGACAGCAGCAACAGGTAGGTCAGAAGATAACTCCAGGGTCCGGCTGACTTGGGTTTTACCTGTAACTCCCTAAACCTCTAGGTCTCCTTGGCTGACAGCATCAGTTCTTGTGTCACCACCTCTGATAGGCTTTCCTGCCCACCCAAGCTAAAGTCCCTTATCCTCCCATAATCAACTTCTCCCACACTCCTGGTTTTAGTTCCTTAAGGAAGCTTCCCTCTCCAAAGTGCCTGCTACTTTCTAAAGCGTGCATCTACTCTCTAACATCTGCTTGCTTCCTCATCTGTTTGCCAGGATATTAGCTGTCCACCTCTACCCTCCTGCCCCACACCAGAAGCTCCTTCAGCTTTTGTATCCTTGTCCTCTAACTGCACCTATATCATTATGAATGCTGACTAGTGAGCTACTTCCTTCTGGTTTTTCTTAGTGTTTGATTCAGATCTTGCCCAGGCCTCAGTGCATGCAACATGAGGAGTCCATGACTTACTCATAAAACTCTGCTGCCGGTGTGAACTTGTACTTGGAGTACTTGGTGTGGTTGCCCAGGGCGGAGCTGTTGAAGAGCTTGGGGTCAGTGCAGTTGGGGCTATTCCAGGTATGGCCACAGTCAGTCCATGGCAGGTTCAAAGTGAAAGAGGCAAAGAGGTAGTACAACGACCAGGCAATGATGGCATTGTAGTAGAAGCCAACGTAGAAGGCCATGAGGATCACAGCATAACCAACTCCTGTGTGGGGACACAGATGTGGCTCCCCTAAGGCCCAGCCCGAGAGCCACTTTCCCAGGGGAGTTGGCTCTAACAGCTGCACTCCCCAACACCTGCCCCCTCTTTTTCTGTAATAGAATGTCAGAGTTCCCTCATATTCCACAGGCACCTACCAGCCCTTTTCTTGAGGATTCTGTCTTGCTACTCCAGCCCTCTTTACCCACTTCTTGGGAGTTATACCCCAGGGAGCAGCTGTATCAGGAGTCGGAGTATCTGAACTCCCTCACCCCTTGTTCAGAAAACGTGGTGGAACATTTCACACTCCATCACATTCAGGGCGGAACTGACCCTATGATGTACCTCTTATGGGCTGCTTCTCCCTCCTTATCCCTGGAACCAGCTCCGCAAATAACTTGCTACATCTATGTTCTTGCCTCAAGATCTGCTTCCAAGGGAGTTCTAACCAAGAACTCCCTGATAAGAACTCATCCTCGTGTGCTCAGTGGGTCCCTCTCTCAACCACCTGCTTCATGGGCTGATATCTTACCTTTCTAAATGTACTGGCAGCCCCATTAGGATGAATTCTGTGGCTTCATCATAGAGAATACATTTATTTTTCTTCTCTGCCCAGTGTTGCTTTAAAGTGGTATCCTTAAGCGAGTTTTGGCCTGTGAGGTTTGGGTGAGGGTAATCACCCAAATCCTCTGTCTAATCATGGTACATGATGCGGGCCTGGCCAAACAGGGAGCCACTTCACTGTAGCCACTCTGATTGGTCAATAGATGAACATATGAGTCAAACCAAGCCAATGAGATTCTTCTCTGGGACCTTTAAAGAAGCCACAAATATAAAGTCGGATGTGGTGGGGCACACCTGTAATCCCAGCACTAGGGAGGCTGAGACAGGAGGATCACTGTGAGTTCTAGGTTAGTCTCAATTACATAGTGAGACTTTGCCAACCTCCCCCAAAAAGAAGCCATGAATATGTAATGTATTTTTGTTAAACACGGCCACTTTCTACAGATATGCTCTAAGACTCAAATCCAAGTAGACTCATCAGAGATCCCAGTTGCAAGCAACAAGCTGTGGATTTTATATTAGAAATTTCATGTGAGGCAGCTTTCTGCCTGAGCTCTAAAAGATCAAGCATCAGTTTATCATGCCTGCCATGGTGGCAAAAACAGAGTAGAAGGATGTGTGATGAGTACTTCTGCCACTTCTCTAAGTATTTCCTATGCGTAAAAATAGACTCTGGCCACACAGCTGGCAGAGCCTGGACCAGAGCCCAGGTTTTCAGACTTTCTATGTTAATACTATTCTGTTAACTCCAAATATTCCTTGGGTGATTTTGAATAGTGGATGCTCTCAACCTTATCAATACTTGTGAATCTCACAAGAGAGTTGGTCTGTCTTATATCTCACCTTTGGGACAGATTTTCTGGGCTCAACAAGGAAGGTGTTGGGCAAAACTTTTGACTTCCCCCAGGCTGGTTGTTTACCTTTGAAGAAAGGGCAGATCTTCCACACCGTGGCTGCCCCCTCCCGGTTGTACTGCCCCAGAGCCAGCTCCATGTAGAACAGAGGCATCCCAGCAATGATGAGAAACAGTGTATATGGGATCAGGAAGGCACCTGGGGGGGCACAAAGGCAGAGTGCGATCTGTGAGATTTCAGTGCTTCAGAGTACTTGATCAGTGTCCACAAGAGCTGCCAGGATCCCCATTCACCTGTTCACTTGGCCATTTCCCAGGGCATGTTTTATGCAGCTAAATAAAGTCATTTATAACAGTTACTACAAATCACAGCAGAAAAATAATATCAGTAGTAATTGTGGTCACAATAATGAGGTTCTGTAGTCAAATTAGTAAAGTCTAGGTTAAGCAAAGCTAAGTAGGTTTATTTCTGGCAGACTTTTCCAACGGAGCACAACAAGGGGTGTTCTAAGTGTAGCCTTTACCAAATTCACATAAACACAGACGCCTCTGAAATCACCCTGGGAATGTCAATTTAACCCAAACCTTTCCTTTTATAGGTAATAAGACTGAGTCCAGGGAAAGCCTAAAGTTACATATGATCAGGTTTCTACTTATGCTCATATTGATACCATTAGTTATCAATGGACTGCGTGGCTGGGACCTCACTGGATTCATCTCAGAGTCTCACAACAGCCCACAGATATAATATGCAGCCAGGGTCATTGTGACCCCTAGAGAATGGAGTGGCAGAGAAGAGCTAACTCTGCTTGGTGGTGTTACGGGTACATGACAGAAGCAGGATTCACATTCAGGTCTTCCAATCAGTGGACTTACCCCATTGCCAGCAAAGGCTAATGCACAGGGGACAGACGTTCAAGGCTCTGACAAGGGCAGATGGCCACATAGAGTATGGCAGAAACCCCATGGGTTCCTAGGCAATGGGCAGGAACTAATCTCTGGACAAATCCCTGGTGAAATTAAAAGTATCAGAGTTCTAGTGTCAGCTCTTGGTGTGACCTGGCAGCCTCGGGTTTACTTAGTGGATTCTGGCACTGCAAGGTGAAAAACTGCCATCTCAGTGTAGGCTGCAAACTGCCAGCTCCTTCTCCCACAAATCCTATTTTACAAGCAAGGAAACTGATATTTATAAAAGTCAAGTTGCTGTCCAAACAGTTCAGTGCCCAGTGTACAAGCCTGGATCTGCCTGAACCCCATGTACTTCTCCTCTTGGATGCATGGAGCCAGAAGGAGGAGTAGGAAGTAACATAATAAACAGTTTCTTAGGTCTGAAGACTAAAGTCACTGAGCCCAGGGAACAGGGGAAAGTCACAGTTCAAAAGTTGGCACTGGGGCTTGCTACTGGCTAGTGTTCTCCTCCACACAGCCAAGGAAGAGAAGCATACCATCTTCCAACTAGAGGTCTGGCATTGGCCCAAGTTCACAACTCGAAATCTCCAGGCAATGCTGCCAAGAAGCAGGTGAACTGCCCAATCTGAGAGCCATCTCCTCTCGGTGGCTGAAAGTCACAGTAACAATGAGGGGTCTGCCAGAGGCCTCAGGTCTCCCCCAGGAGTGGCTTTGATGTAGGCCAAACTGAGCTTCATTCCAGTGAACATAGATCACGAAGACTCAAGAACGATGGAATGGCCAAGTATGAATGGAAACCAGAAAACTGACCAGTAAAGAAAGTCATGGCTGCTTTATAATCCTTCTAAAAGATCATCAACAGCTGGCTGGCTCAAATCCTCTTGCAGAAAGAAACAAGGCAAAGCTGAAGAGTTAGAAATGGACTTCAGGTTAACTGAGGTCTGCCAAGAAGCAGCCTACAATAGCTCTGTGAGGCCACGGCTCATTGTAACCCTCCTAGAAGCCACTGCCTTGCTATGCTCAGGGCTGCCACATTTTTGTGTTCCTGATGCACTTCATGTGTGTGTGTGCCGCTGCAACCAGCCTCACACAAACCTGGGGGTCTGGGGGACCCAGAAGCCTTAAATTCTGTCTTGGATTTTGGCTGCTCTGGCTGTGTTGGTGCTGGGCTGACTGGCACAGCTGGAAAAACACAGGTAGGACACATTAAGTGAAAGGCTCAGTGCCAGGAAATGTACCACCCTACCCCCCAAAATATATACATTCACAAAATGCCTACCCTTGCAAGGGTACAGCTAAAGTTTGGTGCATCAACACTCACACAGTCCTACAAGGAGAAGTGCCCACTGTGAAAGAGATTCTGATTTGTTTTGGGTGGGTGGGGGGGATTTAGTTTAAAAAGAAGAAAAAAATCACTGTTACATGAGTGTAACTCAAAGTGCCAGACGTCATACCATTAAATCCCTACTAGCCACAGAGGGACTCTGAAATCTTCCATGCAAATGCCAAGCCCTCAGGAGGGAAGCCAGTGGCTCCTCAGATCATTCAAGTGGTCACCTGTATAAGTAAGAGAACCTCAGGAAAAGGGAGAGGGTGGGAAATCCACGGTAAGGAATGGAGTGGCCCAGGCCTGATGGGGAACTGGGGAAAGTAGAGGGAGTACAGTTAAGGAAGAGTGTGAGGTAAGAGAGGAGGGTCCCCTGAGGATAGTCTGTCGGGGATGAGATTTCTTGGGCTGTGAACTCTGGCCACACTCTGATATATCCAAGAAGTGGATATCTACAGAGTTGTTCCCTTGATGCCTATAGACCACTACAATCACTGACTAAAGAAAAGTTTGGTCAATGACTATAGTAGCCAAGTTTGTCCCCCTTCCTCTAAACCCTTAAGAACATAGTGAAGAGAGTGCAAGAGGGGATGAGACATCAGTCAGGACACAGCTGCCCACAGGGGCCCCCTGGAAGGGCTGGGGCAAGAGCACACAGGGAGGTCTACAGTCCTCATGTCAATATAGTTAGATCAAAAATCAAGCCACAGCTATTAACTAAAACACATTCTATCTTTCTACACTGACAGTGAGACCTTGATAATGGTTCTCTTATAAAGTTCAGGTTTGGCATTCTCAGTTCTTGGCTCTCTGGGCTGGAATCTGATTATTCAGAGTGAGTCCTCCTGAACTTGTCCTTCTTGCTCCCTCACCTCGGCTCCATCCAGCAATGTGAGAGGCCTTTTGGACATGCACGTGGATTTTCCCACATGTATCCATACATGTGTGAGCTGTCCACAGTCCCTGCAGACAAGCCCCCTGACTTCCCCTCAGAGTCAGGGTTGTACAGACATTAAGGAAGAATAACCGAGACCTGTCATGTAGAGGTACAAGATCCCAACAATGAATGTAACTGTACTGTATCCCTAAAATGCACCAATAAACTCAATTAAAGCTGAAAAAAAAAAAGAATAAACCAAGCAGGGAAGCCATGCAGACCTGGAATGGGGCTTGGGGCTGTCTGGACAGCGGGGTCCAGAGTCTGGATACTTGGAGCATCGCGTAGGTGGGAGGCAATGTTCTAGATAGGAAGGGGAGGAGGGCAGAGCTAGTAGGTTCTTTAAAGTCCAGGGCCCAGGATATGACCTCTTGTCTGGAGCCAAGCACAATCCCTCCTGATCCAAGTCCTGCTATTTACAACCAGGAGTCCTTACACAAATGTACCTTCTCGAAGCCTTAGCTAGCCCCACCTTTGTAAGTGAAGACAATAACACCTGAGCTACTGGTTTGGTGTGATAATTTGGAGGTAAAGACCAAGACACTGGTTTAGTGCTCTGTCAATGGAAATTGTACCCTGTCGTCACCCACAGGGCTGATGGGACACACCTTTATCAACTGGAGACAGCAAGTAAGGGCTCTCCATGTGACTAACAGTAGCCAGGCCCTTTGCAGGACACAGCCATACACACCAGCCAGAGGCTTAGCAATGCAGGCCTTGAGATGGTCCTTTGGACTCTTTATGTCCTTACCTCTAGCTATCCAAACAAGAATGTTGAGGACAAGCAAGAGCACAACAAAGGATACCCCAGGTCATTTCTAAAAGGGGCTCCCCTAGTACTATCCAGAACTCCCAGGGAGCATGAAGGACCTACTCCACTAGTTGGAGGGGAGTGCTCAGTCCTTAGCTCGATTCCTTAGGGTCTTTACTGAAGAAAGCCTCCTCACACAAGACAACATAGCAGCTGGCATCCAATGACTCATTACACCAGGGCATAAAGCCCAAGCCACTCACCTCAACTCTCCACAAGTCAGAGAGCCCATCTTAGCTTCAAAACCCCCTGTGGGGTTGACTGAGGCTGCCGAGCTGTCCATCCTCTAGTTACCTTTCCCTAAATCTGCTGGCTACCATTCCCTAAATCTCCCCTGCAGCTACACCTGCTTTTACCCTTCTAGTTTCCACTTTCTGCTTCTATCTATGGAGAACAAAATCAATGAGTCTTTCTTAAATAAATTATTTATGCCTTTGGCATCAGGGGAGGGTACCCCTCAGAATCATTGCCAGGCACAGCTGGGTTCCTACGGCCCTTTCTGCAGGAAAACTCTCTGCTCATTTAATAAACCAAGCCTAGATCATTTAAGTTTGGTGATACAGGGACTCTCTGCTGAGGGTAGGTAGGAAGGCTGAGTCACGTGGAACATGCTCTAGCTTTCTTGTGTCCCAGATTGATCTCCTTGGGACCCATGATGACTACTAAGGGCCCTGTTAACTGGCTTCAGAGTCCCTGTAACCTCAGCCCAAATGGGGTCTTTGCTACTTTCCCTGGACTTCATTGACTAGCTAGGACCATCTTCATAAACCCTCTACATTGCACAAATTCCTGGTGTCATGAGAAGGAATTCTACACAGAATGATGAAAACTGGCCTTTCTGGTTCAGAGAAGGACCACTCCCTCTTCTTCATCTTCATCTTCATCTCCTGCTAACTCTGCCTTAAATTTGAAACCTGGAAACAGGCTCAGAGAGGAAAAACACTCAATCTCCATTAAGGAAACCCAGCTCATCTAATGAGAACAGGGTAAAAGTCAAGGAAATTAGTGTTGGGGCTTCTTCTTCGGAGCAATTTTTTTCTGTCAAATTTGGACTTGATTCTAATAAATCTGCAATGTATTTAAAAGTTCTAGAAGACTGTCTTTTGCTCATCTCTGTATTCCTGGCATATGATAAGAATTTAGTAAAGGATTTTTAATTAAGTAAACAGATTCCAGAAGTGAGTTACATAGAGGACACAGCTAATGAAACCCCCAGGGCCATGTAGTTCAAGCTGGCCTCGAATTCACTAAGTAGTCCAGGCTGGCCTCTAACTCTCAGTGATCCTGCTGCCTCAACTTCTCAAATGTTGGTATTATAGGAGTGCACACCATACACAGATTTGTCTGTGTCCTAGTCCTTACTGAGGCAGTTGGGTTTAGAACCACAGGACATAATGCAGCATTTTTCCATATTAAATTATTTCTTGATGGCAATAGCCTCTCCAGATAGTTTTGGCTGGCTCAGTTAATAAGCCAAATCATGCTCACGACCCTCGATTGAGGTCCTAGATAAGTTCCTCATTATTACTGCAAAGGGGTGTGCAAACTCGTCAGCTGGAGCACCACGCCAGATGGCTGGCTCATTGTGCATCTAAGCTGAACAATGTGAGCTCTTTAAGCTCCAGAGCTGAAGACCCCCTGCAACCAGGCTGCATGTGAATACACTGAGTTGAGGAACGCCAGTTTTCTGTACCAGGCACCACCTCAATCCCAGATACTTTGACCAAGAGAGTCCCCAAAAGCTTAAGATTCTGAGCTTGTTTGAAGAAGGATGGAAAGTCAACTGGAAATTCAGAAGCACAGCATCTCGTGAGACCCATGGGAGTACCTGCAGCAGTGTGAACACCACTTTCCAGGTGAGAAATCCACAGTGAAATAAGGTTAGAATGTCTGCATATGGAACTAAGTCCTCTGCCATGCTCAGGCCTCAGGCTTAAGCAGGACAACTTTCCAGCCTTATTAATCTTCATCGATTTGTTCTCAGGATAAATTCTCCTCCCTACAAAATCAGGATATCATCCCACTTCTAGAGTTAGCAAGCAATCAAAATCATCAAACAATAGCAAAATTGTAGTATGAATACTTATTGAGCCCCTATTATGTTATATCATTTCAAAAACTTTGCATATATTATCTGGTTTTATCATACAGCATAAGAAGGTGCTGTGGCTTTTCTCTTTTTCTGTACAAAGAACCTGAGGCCCAGATCAAGGAAAGTGTATGATTCATCCAAGACCACATTTCTAGCAAATGTCAAACTTGAATTAAAACCCACTTCTGTCCAAAACTAAAAGCCACAAGGTACACTGCAGAGCAGTCAGCATATGTTTCCCAAAAAAGAAGGAGGAGGAAGAGAAGGAGAAGGAGAAGAGGGAGAAGAAGCTACATGCAGAACATAATCCACAGTGACCTCTTGTTTCTCAGAGAACCAGACATGGGCACCTGGTCCATTTGCTTGCTTCTCTCCAGGGACTAGCAAAGACCAACATCACAGGTTCAAAAGGAAAATACAACCTTAGATATAGCCAGTGCCTGAACTGTCTTCCCAAGGGGCCTCAGTACTTGGGAAGGTTCTGAACAAAGCCCTGAAATTTCTGAGGGAAGACTGCCCTCCCACAGCTTGTCATCCTAGCAGCTGGTCTTCGGGAAGATGTTCAGACAGGCTGCTCTTTCCCAGAAATTCATTTGGAAACATTAGCCAGGGGCCTAAACAATTGGCACCTTGATCTTTTCAAACACCTTCCAGTCTGGGCCAACACAGATAGTCAGACTTAGAGAGGTTTTGCTAATATTGGCATCAGGAGAGCACATAGGCTAGGAACTGTTAAATAACACGGTAGTAAAACTGGCATGGGTGTATCCCTAAACCAGGGCACTGGAGACAAATTAATTTGGGGAGTCATTTAAGCTTATGTCCCTCTCTACCAGGGAACTTGATGCTCAGAGAGGGACTGTATGATGCCCAAGGTTACACTGGCTGAGCTGAGATTCAAACTTATCTTTGGACTACTTCCACAATTGCAGGAATTCCAGGCCAACTTGTCCATCTCCAAAGCTGATTACAGAATTACTGAATGAGAATGTATTCACAAGGAATAGCCAGGGGGGCTTGGAAGAGATCAAGCCAACTTACCATCCCTGAGTAAGTTAGAAAAGGAGCTGCTTCATACTCTGAGAGGGAGGGCTACACTGCTCCCCCATGTCAGTCGCAGACATGATAACCAGAAATGGAAATTCACCAGGATAGCATCCTTACCCTTTAGCCTTGCATTCAAAGCCTATGGTAAGCAGCCTCAGAGTGTCTCTCTGCACCTATCTTCCCTGTCTTGCCCATCAGCCAATCTTCACCCCCATTCTGAGATGACTTCATATATTCTTGGCCTCAACACATGGCTGGAATACTGGCTCCCCTCCCAAAGCTGCCACATCCTTCCAGTTCACAGCAGCTGAACTCCAATCACACCAACCTCCCCTCAGTGTTTTCTAAGCCCCACCTTCCCACACCTTTACAGCATTTATCAACTTTCCCTTCTATTTCATGCATCATCTTAATGATGCTAATGAAAGCAATAGCCAGTTTCCCTAAGCCATACTCCATGCCAGGCTCACCCTGGGCATGAATATACTTAGTCCTTAACCATGATTTGAACAGCATCATTATTTCCATTTGACAGATGAGGAAACAAAGGCTTAAGGAGTTGCCCAAAGGCACACAGCAAAAAACTGGAACACAGAGTTCCACAGCCAAGATTCCTAACATCAAGGCTGCTGGGGACCCTACACACATGCTGCTTCACTTTACTAATTACCACCGTGTTTCTATTGTGTTTTCTGAATACAACAGTAAGACCATTTCATTAATCTAGTTCATCAACAGTGAAGTTTATTAGGCACCTTCTACCACATTCCTAGGACCCAGGCCTTATCTTAGGTATCAGAAATACAAGGATGAAAAAGATAGAGTCTCTGCCTTCAGTGTGACCCAGACTGCTTGGGAGAGACACACAAAGAGACAAAGTACTAAACAACTAAGGATAAGCCATTGCTAAACCAGCAAGCCTGGGAGAAGAAGTCAACCTCTCCTAAAAATTGGAACTTGTGACAAATTTTTTTTCCATTTTATTCCCTAAGTACTAGTTTCTCCCATACACAGCAAGTGTTCTACTGCTGTAGTGGCAATGGCCAAGTGAACACAGTGTCAGTGAAAGCCCTAGAATATCAATCTAGCTCATGTGTCAAACTGGCCATCTGGGGTGCTTTTAGTTTCAACAAACAGATATAACAATGGAAAGGAGTTATCCCAGCATGACAATGAGGACCTTTGGTGATTAAAGCTCCTGGCAGGCCAAAGTGTTGGTTCATACATCTAGCTGACATTCATGGAGCTGAGCATTATGCCTCACACTGAGCAGACCCAGATAAATATCCTGATTAATGATGGAGACGTCAGCTGTTCAGGGACACACAGTCTCGGACAATGGTCACTGAGGACATCCTGGGTGGAGTGTCCTAAGGTTTCTCAATCTGTCTTTCATTCATTATCTTCCTGCCTGCTAAAAATATAGAGAATCTGCATTTTCTCCTTCTTTAAGCCCTAAGGGATAGAATGCACAAATCTCCTGAGAAACCTCTGAGAAGATATGGCCCCCAATGTGAAAACAACGTCTTATCCTTGGATTCTATTTCTCTTTTCTCTACCCTTGATCATCCTAAAGCCGGACACAAGTGCTGAATATCAACAGCCACCAGGGATCAGATCCCAAGCCCCAACTTCTCCTAAAGTTCAGGACTCCTGGCCCAGATGCCTCTTCTTGCACCATCTGACAGTTGCAGACTTATCTCGGAAGGTGCCATAGGAGATCATGGACTCTCATCTGCCAACTCCAGACTAGAATTAGCTCCCTCAGAAGGAGAGCTAAGTATTTCCATATACAACATCCTTTGTTAAAAGCCACCTACTCTGCCTGCCCTCTCTTTGCCCATTCCAAAGCAAATGTCCAGAGTACACATGAACACAAGAGCCATGTGGCACAAGGTCATCAGCTTTACCTTTGCTCAGCTCCAAACTCTCACCCTCCCTACTACTGATCTCTCTCAAGTCCTGATCCATCACCACTGCCAGGCAGGGTGGCTCAGGGAAGAGAGAGGTTTCTGGAATTGGGTTAGTTTCTTCCTTTGGAAAGTTTTTCACTGTGTGCTCTGCAGAAGAATCCTGAGCTAATCATAACAACAGTAGCAGGACTGGGACTTCAGGGGCAAAGTCACTTAGGAAGGATCTAGAGCCTTGGGGGGCCCAAACCCAGAGATCTAGGGTTTAGGCTACAGGGCATCTGACTGCTGAGCTGTGTCTCTGGGGAATCTACCTTATTCTGCCCACTGGAGCTTAGGTGACTTGGAGGCTCTTGCTTCAATTTAGGTGGATAATCTAACCACCCAGCGGGAGTGAGAGAGCAGACTTCTCCATTGTATCCTGCAGACCACTCTCACATTTCACCCTGCAATGTGGCCAGAAGCTTCAGCCATTCCCCCATGCCTTCTGCCCCAAGGACCAGGCCAGTTCTTGGCATCTACTAATCCAATCCCACCTAGGCTGTGTATGCTGATTCCTGCGCCAAAACTACTGCCCCTTTAAGAGTGGCATTCTTTCCAACACTGGCTTCTCTTACTATGTGTCTGTGTTCCCAGGGCCTCTCCAGGTAACTTCCAGGAACCCAAGTCCCCTATCATCTCCTGGTCCTGCTCTCGGACACAGAATACTGGATTTGGGGTTACCTTGCCTCTGGTTGTCGCATCCTCTACACGTCAAGAACTCTTTGAATCTCTGCTTCCACTGCTGGGACCATCATAGATCAGAATTCCTCAACCAACTAGTTTCCGGATTCTATCCCTCCACCCAAGCACCTATCCCTGTCCAAGGTCCTGTCTCTATTTCTCTCTTTGCTGCCAACTCCAGTGTTTTGTTTTGTTTTCTCCGTGAGTTGTTTGTCCCTTGCCTCCTTGTTCTTCTCCCGTGCGTGTCCCTTCTCTCCTCCCAGCCCTGCGCTATCCGCTATCGGACAGGTGACCTCCCAAGTCCAAAGCCGTATCCTGACCCCACACTCACCGCCACCGTTCTTGTAGCAGAGGTAGGGGAAGCGCCACACGTTGGCCAGGTCCACCGCGAAGCCGACCACAGACAGCAGAAAGTCGATCTTCTTGCCCCAGGTCTCCCGGGGCTGCGCGTTCCCGTCCTGGGAAGCCAGGAGGCACTGGACGCCGTTGCGCTCCTTCACCACCAGCAGCTCAGCAGGTTTGCACCCCCGCAAGGGTTGCGAGGACTCCGGCTCCTCTCCGCTGTTCTCGGGTTGCACCTGCGGGCTCATCCGCGCCAGGAGAATGGGTGCGGCCGGCGAGAGGGACTTCATGGGTACTGGGCGGGGCACGTCGAAGCTCTGCTCGTATAAAAGGAAAAAAGGTTCTCACCGGGGGCTCCTGTCTGCCCGCGCCAACCGTGACCACCCAGGAGCACCGGGGGCATCGGGATCCCTGTGCGCTGAGAACTCAGTGTTAACCAGAAAGGGGAGCGTCTGTTGGGAAAATGTAGAAACAGAGGTTGTGACGCGAAGGACTGGGACAGGACTGGAAGTTGGGGACCGCCCATGAGCGCCGAATGGGTCGGACTGGAGACCCCGCGGCGCTCGCTATAGTTCACCATCGCTCTGCAGCTTCTAGACGTCTGGGCTTGGGCTCCCGAAGCTGAAGTTTCCCGGGGCAGTGACAGGACCCGGTGCTGCCAGCTTGCTGCCAGGCTCCACGGCTCGGGTTTGCTCTCCCTCCGACAGTCCACAGCAAGACTCTCACAGCTCTACTCTTCAACTTATAGGCGGTAGAGCTCTTGAAGTTCACCGGGTCCTCCCCGCCCACCTGGTCCCGAGACACTCACATGTCCTGCAGCTGGGGGATCCGGGCGCCGGGGCGATGCGGGCTGTGGGATGCGGGCCGGCCGAGCTCCCCCGCTTGTCACAGGGGCGCGGCTGGAGAAGCGCTGGAGGAGCTGGGCGGCCGACCGGACGCGGGCTGGCTATTCTGGCCGCACCGGGCGGGGGGCGGGCTGGTAATGTAGCCTTGGGGGTCGGGCTGGTAATGTAGCCTGTGCCCCAGGTAACGCGCCGATTGCATTAACCCAGCTCCCAGCCCGCTCGGTCTGGAGCCTGTTAGCGCTAATGGAGACTGACAGCGCAGCCGGGCATGGGCAGGGGCGGGGGCGCGGTGCGGGTTCCTGGGCGGCGGGGCAGGCTCCCAGGAACTTCAGGGACCCGGGGAACCCGGTGCTTGCTTTTGCTATCTATCCTGATCTGGAGTAGCACACAGCACTCCTACAGTCACCAGGAGCTGACTTCCGTCCAAAGGAACAGAGCCATAGATTCCCAGGATAGGATCCGCGTCCCATCACAGAGGGACTGCAAAAGCACTAGGGAAGCAGCAAGCCAGCTCTGTCGTTTGCTGTCATCAGGCCACTTACGCTACCTAATCAGAGTCCATCAACAAAATGGGAACGTTTTGCTGGGTTCCTAGAACTGCAATCTGATGCTCCCCCCAAGCCACCGGGCAGTTATTGTCTGTTTTGTTTTGTTTATCTGATTCGAGGTGCCCAAAGGTCACAGCCCAATATTTCCCTTCCACTTCTCTGTTATGAGCAGCTAGTAGAACGAGATTGTGACCCGTCCTAGGAGGCTGGGAACTGTCTATTTTGTTCCTTCACTCTTTCGTTTTTACATCCACCTCCTCTGTGGCGGGCTGTTGTCTGGAGTCCCACGTGTGGACAATACCTTTAGATAATCCTGACAACATAGTTTTCTTTCAGCTAGGGAGGACAGGGGAAAATAGGACACATAATAAATACACACATTACATGATAGCTGAGGAAGTAATCTGTGCCATAAGAAAAAAGGGAGGAGGGGATGGGGTTTCCATTTGAACAAGGGGTGAAAGAATTTGAAATGGTAACATTTAAATGTGCAAAAGCCTGGGTCACTTGGACTTAGTGGTTGTTAGCTCACTGGTTGCCTTATCCATTGATCATCCATCAGGCAGAGTCTGATGGCCTGCTGCATGCCAGTACAGAGCCACTAGTGAAGCTAAAGGGGTGCGTTCTGCCATCCAGGAGTGCCCAGTCCAGAGTGCGGAGTTGCACAGCTCTTTGCAGTCAGGTTGTGCCCACAGGAGCATGGGCGGGAGATCCAGATCAGCAGGTAAGGATGGAATGGGTAACAGTTTGTATAAGCTCAGCCACACTGATTTTTCTACCTTAATGTTTGCTATTCCCTCTGCCTGAGAAGTTCAGGTCTCGGTCCAGAGGTCCTTTCTTAACCTCTCTAATGTCAAATACACCTTCACTCTCTATCACACCACTCTAATTTATCCCTTCGTTACATCGCTAACCAAATTTACCTGTCTGTTTTGCATCTGTCCTTCTGCAGCATACGAGCTCTATGGGAGCAGAGACCTGACTGTCCTACCTGTCACTGTATTTCCAGCACCTGGCACATGCCAGGGCATCTATCAGTGATGAGATGAGTCAGCGAGTGAGTGGATGAAACATGAGGGTGTTTACAGCACTTTCATCAGTGGAACCAGCCTAACAGACGTCCTCGGAGTAGGATGCAGGAGGGAGAGGAAGGGAAACCTGGAGAAGGCTAAGTCTGTCTGGCCTTCTGGGGACCAGCAACCAGAGGTGGGATGCCAAGGAAAAGATGGAGCAGAGGTTTTAGAACAAGAACTGGAATGAATCAGAAGTTTCCATCCCTCTTCTTGGGATTATAGACCACAGCAAAAAGCCTGTGAGGAAAGAATGCATGGAATCATATTTCCATTTTTTCAGTTCAGGACACTGGTTCTAAAGGTTCAAGGGATCTGTCTGAGGTCTCATAGTTTGGAAGTGAAAGAACTGAAATGTGGACCCAGGTCTCCTTGCTCCGAGCATTTTCTCTCTTCACCAACTTATGGATGGAGACACACAGAACCTCTCTAGGAGTCATATTCCCTTCCTTCTACCCTATGTCCTGTCCAACTGGTCGTCATCAGGTCCTGGGAAGCCCACTTCTTAAATGACCTGTGAAGCTCCAGGATTCCCACCACACCCCACACAGAATGCCCATCACCTTTCCCTGCACCAGCATCCCCGCTGGCCATGCCACGTCCAGTCCAGTACCTTCCCAGAATGAATGCCAGCTTGCAGACCTCTTTTTTCAAGTCTGGCCACCTGACTTCTGTGCCTAAAACTCCTCTGGCACACACCAACACATCACTGTGATTTAATTAAGCCTGGATTTAAGGTGTTTTTTATTCTTTATGCCAACTTTTCTACAATGAGCATTTGATACTTATGCAAGCAGAAAATGTAGCCTATAGTTGTTAAAAATCCTCTAACCTTAAACACCTTCAGCATTACAGGCAAGAGTCTGCCTATCTATTCAACTACATATATTCATATTCTAATTCTTTTTTCATTTTCTCTAAACATCTTACCACCCCCAACATATGTTTTATTTTATAGCAATGTAGGAGATATTAAACTACTGGTAGTTCCCTGAACCTTATGCTTATACTTTTGCACACCAGTGGATTTTTGAACACACTCTTTCCATCTTTTTATCTACTTGGAAGACTCCCATTCATGTTCCCAAACCTACCATGTCACTTCCACTGTGCAGTCTTCCGTGATTACCACCTGTCAGGGCAGTCACATCCTCTTTTACACTCATTGTGTATTTTCCTGATACAGTTTTATGTATGACTTCCCTGCTAGGGACAAGAAGGGTGACTGATATATCCTGTCACACAGAAAGAACTCCAGAAATATATACAAAACAGAACTAGAAGAGGTATCATTCTTTGGTTGTGTTGGTTGTCTATGCTTGGGATTGTTTTATATTTGATTTCTCCAGAAGCAGAAACTGAAACAAAGATTTAAATGCAAGTAGTTTATTTAGGAATCCTTGAGAGCACTGGGAGAGAAGTGAGTGAGACAGGAAAGGTTAGGAAACTGGTAGATGGTTAATTAAGGAGCAGTCACTGCTGTGGGCAAGCAGCATGCACGATCCTAGGCAAAGAGCAAGGCTCAGCTGGGATCAATGGAGGGCAAGGAGGCAAAGTGTTTATACTTTAAAGCTATTCCTGAAGTGTCGGCTGTGTCACATCTGCAGCCTGCATGATATGGAGTGAGGATGTTCCATGAAAAAGGAGAAAGGCTTCCAGCAGAGTTTAGGGACTGACAGACAGCCTTTGGGTTGGGTCTGCACTGGCAGGCAGTGAGTGGTGAGGGTGTGGGCAGCACCTTGAAAGCATTTGCTACAAGAGCAAAGGGAGGCTTGTCTCCCCTTGACATGCAACCCAATAGAGAGCCAATCAGCACATCCTTGGAGTCCCCCTGTGACTTCAGAAATATCAGGGGATAAAGCAGTGAGGATACCAGGCTGGAGCTTAGCTGAACAGCAAGGCGTCTCTTCCATGTCCGGCCCAGACTCTCTGGCCACGGCTCCAAGAGCCATGGGGCCATGTGGCTTCTCTCGGTGCCCTGTATCCTGCCCCTGCAGGTGGCCTGAAGGCAAATGGTGGGCAGGAGACTAGAGCATTATCAGAGCTAACATGGTCTCTGGGGAAGCGTCATTTCCACTTACTGTGGCACTTGGTGACACAGGCCATGGGATGCAAGGCGAAGGCTGGTGCTGTTAGTCCAGCTCTGGCCACTTCTATGCAGACGCCAAGGCCTTGAAACACACAGGCTGGGCTGGGTCCTAAGGACACTATCAGAACCTGCTCCTCCATTGTACCAGTGGGAAACTTTAAAAAGACAAGTTTCTCTGTCTCTGTCTCTGTTTCTCTCTGTTCCTGTGTCTCTCTGCCTCTGCCCCCAACCAGTTCTTTTTTTTTTTTTTTTTTCTCCTGGGATAGAACCCAGGTCCTTCCGAGGCAGGCAGCAGTACCACTGAGGTAAATCCAAGGCCCACTCTCTCTCTGTTTTATTGCAGCTGACCTGCCCTGTGCTTATTAGTCATTGATCTAAGCTGTGCTATATTTACAAAAAATATAAAAATCCCTTCAACACCACCATGACCTGAAATCAGTCTCCTTCAGGACACTTTCCAGTAACATACCAGGTATCTGTGAAGCTTTGACCTACCCAGATTTGGCTCAGGCCTTAGAGTTTTGCTATGAATTTCCTAACCCAATTGACACCATTGAGTCACTGGCATTTTTATTTTATTTAATTTTTTTCAGTGAGTTTACTGGTACTTTTTAGGTATACAGTACAATTACTTTCATCATTGGGATCTTGTACTTTCACATGATCTATCTTGGTTCTTATTTTTTCCCCATAACCATGCCCTCCCTTCACCCCCTCCACCTTTCCCTATTTACAGAC